ACGCCGGGCCGTGTCCACGGTCCGGGCCTTCGCAGTGGTGGCACTCAGGCGTCGGCTCCTTGCGGATCAGAGACAGATGATCTTCAAAACATCCTTTCCCGGTGATCACCTGCGTCAGACGGCATGAGAGGGTTCCGTGATGCCTCTCGAGCCAATCCTCCATAACGGGTCCTACCGCCGCGATAACGGCGTGAACGAACTATGATTACCCTGGCAAAACAGGTAAGATTATGTATGTACATATGTTTGTATTGACAGGTTTGACATTCCTTAAGTTCGTGTGTAATTTGACAACATGCCAGCAGAGAGTGAACATTAGTAGATTAAAAGTTAAACCGTTTAAAGTATGTAATAAAAGATAAAAAACATATTCTAGGAATTAGCGGCACATTATGACAGTTTTTGAGTGACGAAGGCGCGTCGTCGTGCTCGTCACGATTCGTGTTCCGCGTGCCTGGTTTATCGCCTACAAATGAACTTTGCAGCTGCGTAAAACAGCTGTCAGACATACAATATTATCCTGGTTCTTCATTGTCATTAAAATTACATTAATTTTGAAGATTTTAAAGTTGTGCTGCTAAGCATTTAAATATAAAACACAACAGTTTTATGATACAAAAAGTTTTCAATCTTTAGGAAGAAAAAGTGATAAATTAGATATCAAGATGCATCTCGTATGAGACTTACTACGAAAGCACTCCATATCAGTTAAGACAGCTTGACATGCGAATTTAGCTCATTAATCGACTGCATTATTATATAAACAACTTGTTTATAAGAAGCGATTTGTTGGTGCTCATAGATCGTCGTCAGTTCGTCTCTTGCGATTAATGTTATAAACACTCACAATGCCAATTGATCTAATTGAAGTGATAAATCTTTAGAGCATCACAGCTGCACCTCGTATTAGTACGTCCTACTACGAATTTAGCAAATTTTAGTCAGTACTTTCAGCATGCGAAATGACTTGAAACAATGAAAAACTCATGCCTTGGAAATTATTTGAGATATCGCCCGCACGTGCGGAGCGATTACTGTATTAAACAACAAAAATGGTCCTTGAGCTCGCCGAGATAGGGGTGGCTTGTGTCGTCCAAAACATCAGCGGTCTGGGACTAAGGGTTGCTCCTCATAAGACGGGAGCCTTGTGGTTCCACAGGAAACGCAGAGGTGCAGTTCCCACCCGCTCACTTATTAGAGTGGCGGGAACAGAGGTCGAGGTTGGCCAACACATTAAATACCTCGGCCTCACCCTAGACAGCCGCTGGAGCTTCGAGGAGCACGTCGAACGGATGATCCCCCGGCTTCGTGGGGTGGCGGGCTCCCTACAGAGGCTGTTGCCTAACCTAAGGAGGTCCGGGGGAGGAAGTTCGCCACCTCTACTCTACGGTGATACGATCCATGGCCCCCTACGGAGCGCCGATATGGGCCAAACTCCTATCGGCCTCCTCCCGCTGCTCAAATATGCTCAATCAAGAGCAACTTAAGAGTCACCAGTGCATTGCCGCCCTTTCAGTCCCTCCCCCCAGAATCAAGGGAAACGGTAACCTTTCTCACTCGGTGAAAAGCAACGAAAGAACTGTTTAAATAACACAAGTTTTCTTTGAGGCCGTGGAATCACTCCGGTCGAGCCTGGTTTATATGTGCTTACGACTAACTTATCTTGTTAGTTGTGTTTTATACATAAATAATTTGTATTTGTGTTATTTTTACTTGAGTTGAATGGCAGAATTCTACGTTAAGCAGTTGCTTTTAGTTACTTTAAATAAGTTTTTTTGCTTTTGAATAAGTTTCAGATCGTTTGAGTGCCACGAATGAAAAGAATATAAATAAAATTCTGCATAGATCACTACGAGGAAAAATGTTGACTTGAAAACTTGTTTAATCAAAACTTTAAGTCATGATTATTTTCGGTACAATAAGCCATCTTTTTATAAAAATTTAGACGCGTGGTATAGCAAAAATTGCACTTGAAAAGTACCTTCCAGTAAGTGATAATAATATTTTTGTTATTCTAGATAAATTATTTTTGCGTGAAGCAATATTTTTTTTGAGCTAAGTAGTTAAACTTGTTGTAGGCCCTTCATCCATAGTGAATCTCGACACTCGTCAAAGAAGCACGAGTTATGCCGAATTTGTTAGACATACAAAAATCTTGCGTTCAGGTTTTTTTTGGGAATTGAAATGTCGGTCTGGTACATGAGATAATATGAGTCATCGTTTCCCAGTCAAACAGTCACCCTACAGAGCATTGCACGCAATAAAAAAACAAAAAAACAAGTTTTTTATGAAACGCGTTGTCAAACAAGGTAGTGATAAATGAACTCAAATATGGGTCAGTGGTCGAGTGATTGGATCAAATATGACAATCTAATTAACATTTCAATGACTAGTAGTCTATCACGACTAGTACATCTTAAAAATAAGATTGAATTGTTAGTTTAGTCACTCATACCGGAAGTACATCATGAGTGCAACGAACTGTTCCAATTGCTTTTGGTAAAACTGGAGTTCGGAGATATGACAGAACAAGGAACTTGGCAAATAGGGTTTATGACCCATAAATTCCGATGAAAAAGTCAAGTCGTTTCTTTTAGAGTCTTGATTAGTTCGACAACAATTTGTTTTGGGATGGTGAGTGTGATTTGGTTTTATTTGTAAGTGTGTAAAGGTGGTAAGGTCGCCCATAAAAGATATTAACATTTTATTGATGATAACATACAAGTTATAAATTAGCTGAAAGGTATATTGTATGATACTGTTTTTTGGGGAATTACCCGAGAACCTGGTAAAAGGCCGTTTATAGTTGAATAAAATTGATAAATACCCTCTTTGTCTGTTCGACGTTTGTTCGACGATGTCAATATAAAAGGTATAAAAATATATAAATAACATCTTTTATCGACTAAATGTAAAAACATGGTTCACTAATTTCTAAAAAGCGTCATTTATTTTGTAAAAATACTACGACACAAATGTAAAATGTTCTTTCTCCGTAATAGATTTGGATTTTTAATTACACTTCGCAATTTGTTTATTTTTATTTAATCAGATAAACAACCTTCAGGAATGACGACAGAGATAATTATTATCGACGAGCGTTAGTTCACAATATGTACATATTGTACCTAATTTAAAGAAATTGACTTAATGGATATAATATTTTACCTACTTACTACTAATATTGCGAAGTTGCGATTTTACACAAACTGATAACGTTATTGTCAGAATATTTAACTGTTATTCGTAGTTTACAAAGCTAACTTCAGTAGATGCAATCACATCACACATCACATCAACAGCCTTTAATAGTCCACTGCTGGACATAGGCCTCTCCTCAGTAAGGAGGTTTTTGGCCTACTATGCAATACCTACACGATAAAATACCTAAGGTTAAAAACCGTGATATCAATTAAGAATTAGTTTTCAGTTAGAGTCGTACCTATTAGATTAAATATATTTGTTACATGTAATAATTACAAGTTTTAGGTTTGGATATGAATATAAGGCTGATTAGGTTTTCCATATTCTAATCGTGAACATAAGTATCTGCCTATTATAGATGCTTACATTAATGTGTGTCCCGCTTTACCCAGTAGTTTTTTTTGTTAGCCTTTATTATTAGATCAATCATCTAATAATAAAGGCTAACAAAAAAAAACTAAGGATCTATCATTTTTCCTTTTCAAGTTAACTGAAATTGTATTTATAAAAATTAAGAACCAAAATAATTTTCGTTAGGTATATTATTACTGCACGACGTAGATATAGGTGGAATATATTATATCGACTCTACGTGGGTAAATCGGGACACACATTGATGCCGTGCGGTGTTCGGGTTCTGTTAGAGCTACAAAGGGCCGTTGCCCCCACATTGCAAAGGTTCTTTTTTTATGTCTGCTCCGTTTAGCCTAAGTCGCTAACACATTCTTTTTTATAGGAACCCGTATGTATTGCACCTTCAATGTTTCGATAAAAATGATACCGCCATAATAATTAGCTTAAGTTATCGCATGTAGTGAAAACGTGAAAGTGCTCTATTGCACATTATAATTATACATATAATGACATAATCTAGGCGTTTTGTTACTAATTGGTAGCACTTCAATTGTACACGTAATCGTGAAACGTGTTAGTGAATTCAGGTGTTGCATTAGAATAAACCACCTGCATAATATTGCATACTATTGTTGTTTTGATAAATATTCAAACAATTAGTCTCACGTTTCTGAGCAGATAATGTTAGACAGCCCGTTTAATATAACAGCGCCAAACTATTGTGTTTGAGTTAAGTATTTTTTCAGATTTTGTTTTATATGATACCCTCCGTTGACTCATACTTCGCCCTGTTTTATAAACGAATATAGGGCACTCTTACTCACCGTTTCAAGAGAAAGCTTCCTTTGTTTACAGTTCATAATATTACCTTTGCGGGCTGCGGATGTTACAACTATTTTGGCATTACCTTTCATTTATCTGTTTTTTTTTCATTTTTATTTAAGTTTTTATTTATAAAGGAATTAAGCGAGTGAACTGCGATTCCCGGTTCAGAGACTCCGGTCTTTGAACTCTCACAAGAGCGGGATGCAGAGGTTGTTTAATGACAACAAATAAAGCATCGATGCACAGCTGTCGGTCGGCAGTCGGCTCACACGCGATTTCTCGAGGGTCCTCTATTATAAGAAAGGGCCAGGTAGTGTTCTAAAGTTTTTCATTTTATATTCGAATAACAAAAATTAAACGAGGCCGGCAGTCAGGTAAACTGGTAATTTATAAAAAAGGCCCTTTATCCGTTATTTTCTTTAGCATACTTAGAATAGAATTAAATGAACTCAATGTCTAGTCAATATATAACGTACAAAAACGCTATTTTAATTACGCAATCGTGAGAAACGATTAATATAAATGTATTAAGTGAACGTAAAAACGCGCACAGGATTTTCGTTCAGTGGACTTGTTTATGTGAGAGTGTATGTATAACAGTGTTTTCAAACCCTTACCTATATGAGCCAGGTCGATGATGGGGATTTCGCAGCGCGCGAGCAGGCTCTCCTCCTGTGGGGCCGCCATTGTCGTTGCTTGATGCAAGCGCTTTGATTACCACACGACGATCGCTCGCTCAATCAAAACTCACGAATTCTTATCACTGACTCTCACAGTAATTAGCAATTAGCGAACGCGACACCGAAAGATAATTTAAGGTAGAAAAATGACAGATAAGCACTAAATACACAGTAAGGTAGAAACCAGAACGTTAAAGTTTATTGAAGTTATGAATGGTCTTTTGATTACCCCTGGTATAGAAGCGTTCAGAACTCATTTGCATAACCTTGTAGTTCTTGCTCGAGGCGATCAGCGATCTGACGTAGCAGCAATAAGCTATACTGACTTGACACATTAAAAATTGGTTTCCGATGCTTTTGTCACAGTAAGTCACTATGTGGAAAGGTTGCTCCCGCGTGTACGAACGACGGCGTCACGCGCCCCCCGTCCCTCACAGCTGGCGAGTTTCGAATGTCTCTTGTCAAATAAACTGGCTCACCGTGTGCGATGAGCGTTACCCTGGCGTCCGATGTCAGCTCTCACTTGTATATCATCGCGCAGACTTTCGCAACCGAGTGGCGTGTCGAAACAGCTCTGCCTTGAGCACGCTGCCGTGTGGAGAAAGCGTGGTGTATAAACGGGTGTGCGCGAACCGCTCGGCGTTCAGAGTAACACTGGCGCGTCGCTCGGGTTACTACAACTCAACCACTCGGCACTCACTGATTCACGCGGTAGGCCCTTGATCGCGGCTCACTTCGCACCGCTGGAGTTCTGATACCGTGCAACGGCGGTGTCCCGTGTTGGTGCCGTTGTTCCACTCTTACCTCGTTGTACATGCCATTCACTCATGACTCGTCCGATTACGGTACATAACTCGGGCCGAACATTTGTTGCCAATATAACGCTGCAAACCTACTTTGGGGAAAAAATCATACATAATGACATGTGTTCATGTGTGCACAAATCTGTTATTATCTGATTAAGTTCGGATTTGCATTTTTATATGACGAACACGTCAACATGGATTCGGATTTTGAAGTTAATTAATAAAGATATCGAAAATATCGTCATTTGCGTTATCAGCAAATAGCGCCATCTGTTAGCTTCAAATCAATACTAACAATAACCGCTGTTACATTATCAAGGATCGAAATAAAATCAAAAATATGTTGTTATTTCATTTAATCTTTCCATCCTACGTGAAAATTAAAACCGAAATTCTCAAGGGTTGAAACAACGAGAAAAGTTTTTTAAATAAAAAATTATAAAAATAATATAGGACGCGATTTATCAAATTAGCATCAACGTTCAGTACAGTACAGTCTTATATTTAGTTGTAATAAATAACGAAATGCTTTAAATTGAGATTGTTTTATTTATATAGGGTTGGTAGCATTAATTTACAGCGTGGTGCAGCGTTCATTTAAGGCATCTCTCGAAGTACGAGGAACCGACGTATCCGCCCCGCATCGCCCTCTGCACGTGTTGTTCGAACAACCTCCTGTTACTTTGAAGTTCATCTGCGGCCTCCTTGTTTAGAGGATCTTCAGGATTTGGTTCCTGAAATATTTTTTTGAAATAAAGTACAAATTCACTTTATCTTTGGTTTTGGCTTTATAGTCGCCCTAATACTATTGAAAGTAGACACACTATTGATTATAGTTTTGCTAGATGTGTTCTTAACCCACATCAATAAGGACACGTTCTTTGTTTGGTGCCTGAACCGATTTGGAAAATTATTTTCATTTAAAAAGGTGAATATACATACTTTCTATTTGGTCAATTTTAAATTTAAGAAAAAACATCTTTAGGGGTGAAAATTTAGGAATAAAGAAAGTTTAGGCTTATTACAATTCATCACGATATAAGCATCACTTCAAGTCTGTAATATTTTTTTAAATGAAAATTATTCCAAAAAACAGTGTCTTAGGGAAAAATAAGAAAGACTCTGTTGTGAGGAGGAAAGAAAGGAGCAATTTGTGGTACTTAGTCTACTACGTGAAGACTAATAAATAATGGTTTCTCATTGCCGACGTTAGATAACACGTATGATTTACTCCTACGTAACTTGCGTACTACACCCACTCTTATCTTATGAAGACAAATACACTGCGCATATTACAATATGTTAAGCGTTCGATCATGTAGGTACATGCCATAAAGACCATTCAAATGAAACAGTATGATACTTGCTTTCCGCCTAAAATGAACTGGTCTTAAAAACTACATGCTCCGAATTGAGTTAAAACCTTGTTACTTCTATTATTTCTTAGTACAACGATAACGAATTTCTTAGTTTGCAAGATAAAAAAAATATCAGGCACATATTTCAATTTTCTTTCTTTTTTAAATAAAAAAACAGATAATGGAAAAGTTGCCTATTGTTCAGGAACTTATAAGTCTCAAAGACTAAAAGAGATATTTATAATGTGTGTATAAAAGAATAAATAAATGAAAGCGCAAATATTTGTATTCTCTTAACACTAGCCTGGGTATTTCTATGTATGGTAGTATACAGTGTGTCAATATAAATTGAAACAGTTATAACTTTTAAACAGATAGTTTTTGTTTTTATTCTTTTAAAATTAAAATCTTTTAAATTTTGAATATGTTTAAAACTAGTGTCCCTTTTTCATGGACACATGGTATGTAGCTACAGTAATAATCTTATCCATCTAAGTATGTTTATACATATCTAAGAACCGCTATGAACAGAATACAAATCATCATCATCATCATCATCAACAGCCTTTAATAGTCCACTGCTGGACATAGGCCTCTTAGAAAGGCCTTAGAAAGGAGGTTTTGGCCTACTATACTACGCAGGTTCAATTATCTGTTCTCACCAACCCGTCTGGTTGGTAAGAACAGATAATTGAACCTGGAGTCTCGTTCGCCGGACAAACAGTGTTATCTTCTAGCCGTCGCATGATGCGCCAACCTTAAGTTAAATAATACAGGAAGAATACAAATAAACGAGCAAAATATTTTTGGCTCTACAACAAAATCATAATGCATTTTTAGGAGCCATCGTTCATTGCCGACCATTATCTTGGATTCATATTGTGAGTGATTAGACAATAAGTGCTTCAACTTAAAAATGTATGTCAATTATAATTGTTGCTGTAGAATTTGTCATGAATAAGTCAAGTAATATTCATAAATCGACGTTTATGAATATTTCGGTCGTTAAATCACATTACATCACATTACACAATTGACGTCAACCTTAGATAAGTAAGACCAATAAAATAACTTAATGATGAAAAATTATGTTTTTAAATGACTTACTTCACTTTAATAGATGGTATTCTTAGGCACAAGTTTACATCGGAAAACGATAGAATACGAGTAAAAAAATAGTGTTTAAGTTGTGTAAAGTGTAAACATTATTTCTGCAAAGCTTAATAGAACAAAAAGACAACAGAATTCGTAAGTGGAAAACTTAATCAACGTTCTGAAGTTAATATTACATAGGTGTCATAGACAACACGGGCGAATTTGCAAGTAGTTGTACATTGTAAATTATGTTTTAAAAAAAAATGCATCTCTGCCTATAGATTAGTGATGCGCAAAATGTATCACAGAGCTGAAAAGATTGATATATATCATTTCGCTCAAAAGATATATATCACTCATCTAGCTCACTAGCTCATTTAGCTCACTAACTCGTTTAGCTCACTAGCTCATTTAGCTCACTAACTCGTTTAGCTCACTAACTCATTTAGCTCACTAGCTCATTGATCCGATTCAATTGATTGGTCTCACTATTAATTCATTTCTTCATCTAGATCGTTTAGCTCAGTATACTCGTATATCACTCACTTTAAGCCTCTCTCGCCATACAAACCTTTCTTTATTTTCATATTAACTTTCATATTAAATAAAATTAATTCAGTTTTTGAAACTACATTTTTGACCTATTTTTTTTAAATACAATTTTATTCATTTTGATAAGATTACATAATTATTAACATCCTTTTACATAATAATTAAAAATAAGAAATTATTTCTTGTACTTTTTTTAGGTTGTATAATAGAAATCATACATAATTTAATTTTTCTTGTACTTGGCTTAATGCTTAAGTAATATTAAACTTTGATCCTATAGAAATAATGTACATTTTGCATAAACAAACCTGCGTGAACTCAACCATCATCTATCTCACTCATTTATCTTTAGTCTCACTCGCTCATGAAACATAGATAGGCGTCGTTGAGCTAGTGATCTAGTGAGCTAGTAGTGAGTTACTGATATATTCGGAGCTAGTGTGAGTGAGTGATACATTTTATCGTCGTGAATGATATATATCTTTTATATCACTCACTCAGGAGCTACACAACTCTACTATAGATGTTTTTATCAATTTTTTTATGTCCTTGTCTATGTGACCTCTCTAGTAACAGGGTGGACATAAGGATGCACCACAACTCCGAGCTACTGTAGTCTCGGTCTGGTTTCACCCATCTGAGACATGCTCCTTTACTCTAGCTGCCTTGCCCTACCCGTTTCTCTTACCCAATGTACCTTCTCTCTTTTACCCATCTGAAAACGATTATATGCCAGCGGTGGGTTGACGTCATACAAGCGGGGGGCTATAAAAGAATCCCGTCAAAATTCTATGCAAAATTATATACTGTGCAGACCTCAAATAGAATTGAAATAAAGGTGATAATGATAAAAAGTTAAATCCACAAGATTGATTGACAAATGTATCTATGTATGTCAACAACATTGGAAAATAACTTAAGTTCATAGTCAAATCATTATTTAGCTCACCCTTACACATCAGACAGCTCAACAAATAGGTGGAAACTAAGCATAAGTTGTACTTGCCTGTTCTAGAACATGGAAGAACATACTTAAACACTTTTTTTTTAAATACCTACATAATATACATAGAAACACCCAGTCAAAATACAAACAAAAAAGGCATATTAGTCAATAAAATAGTTAAAGCGGGAGTGAATACGCCAATTCCTAACTTTGTCTCTGACTGTCCTGCCATACTGCAGGTATGTTCGTGATCAAATTACCAATATATGATAACATTTCTGAACCATACCAATTAGCTCAATTCAATGTGATGTAATTTTGAAATTGTTTTCTTAAAACTTGCAATGACAGCAATCTTACCAAAAATAAATATTGTAGCCCATAAACTATTGAGTTGACAGTGAGTACTGGTTTCCAGTCTTCCCTGAGGATGTTCAGACACACATTGCCTTCAAGGTCTATGTTAGGGTGATATACTGCTGTTTCACACTTCACCTTTGGGGGCTCGTGAGGATAATTTGGTCCTACCTGAAACATCAAAATTAAAGTGCTAAAAAATTTGTTTGTCACAGCTAAGTTTTGTGTACAAAAGTAAGCATGTACAGTGCTGCTATTATGTAAGATTGATTTTTTTATATTTTGTTGATAAAATGTTGTATTCTCCCTATTAATAAAGAGTTCAAAGTAGAAGATCAATTATTTATGGCTGGGTTTATTTTCATTGGCCTCTAAAAACCATATCTCATTGTATTCAATATTTATTTAGTTAGTTTGAATGATGACTCACTGCATTAGGGAAGATTGTTTCCTGCTACTTAGGATTCAATATTGCCAATATTTATACTATTTAATAAAAAAAAAACAATTGTTTGTTTAAGATATCACAAAAATTGAATAAATGATCTAAAATATAGATTTTTGCAGAACAGAAAGAAAACAGAACATAGCAATTATTTCTTTTTTGTCTGTTTGAAACTAAAAGCACCCTCATTAAGTAACAGATTTATGTAGATCTAAAGATTTATTTTTAAGCTTTTGTATTCCTTAATGTTTATTTTTTAATGTCGAGCCATAATTAAAACAACCAATAGGTATATCCTTATAACTGGCAAATGTTTCAACCAGGTTGAACTGACCATAGTGCAACTATAACAATAGGTAGAGAGTGATTTCTTAACTCACAGGTTTAATTTTAGCTGGAATCTGCTTTTATACTTTTACATTATAATTTTAAATTTATATAACCTACATTTATTGACACACCAACTGATTATACATGTTGATATGGATATACAAAAACAAAAACAATAAACAATACAATATTGTAATATTCTTAGCTGTTGTAACACCTCACTGTGACAAAATTACTTACTCATCACATATTGTATTCACTGGTTATGATGATGATATTTTAAAATTAGTTTATATAGTACTAACAAACTTTTCACTATTTTGTCAAATCTTTAAACGATAACCAAATGCACTCTTATAAGAACTGAGATGCATAATTACCTTAAAACTAAATACAAATCTCCCTCCTCTATAGAATCCTTCATCAGGGCAAATGATTAGTTTGAAATTTAGTAAATCATCTGGATCAGGAAATTCTGTACTGCATGTTTTGGGCAAATTAAGTTCATTTAAATCTGAAAACAAAACATTTATAATAGGTAATATAATTCAGATAGAGCTGAAGAATTTTACTGATTCTAAAAGAGTCATTTGAAATATATCATGCATGTATAATTGTTAATTATTTTGATTTGGAAGTGAACATATCTTTAGATAAATAAGTAAATTCATAGTCATAGCCACTTGCTTACAATAACAGTGCCCATTCAAAGCGTAAGTTGTTCTATTTTCTATAGATACCTTTTGTGATTCGCAATTGAGCAGCTGAAGCCTTTTTCTGTGAACCTCCTGCTCTCGCTGAGCCTTCTTCATCTTTCTTTTGTTGTTTTAATGAAAAGAGTTTAATCATTGTCCTAACTAATCGATAAATAGAAATTATTAGAAATAAAACCACGATCTATTTTGACAGCTTTAATTTTTGTATAAAACTTCAAGTTAGGTATATACTTTTGTTGAATTGCTACCCCTGTAATTTGTAAATAAAGAGATATCTGTTATTCCATTGGCTAACTCAACTAAAAGAAGTAAATTGGGTGGATTTTACCCAATCAGGAACAACAATTTAGCTTCGTTTGACATTTCATTGCAGTCGTCATTGTGTAGACATTTTCAACTTCTTTGGGTGGTGTAAATTACCAATAACTATAGGCATTAGATGAAAAACGTGTAGATGTAGACAGAGGATTTCCTCTGTCTTTTTACATAAAATGTTTAACTTTGGTGTTCTTCTTCTGAAAAACAACAAAACATTAACTTTAGAAAAATATACTCTATATTTTTCAAAATTTAATTATTAGTGTAGATAATGCTTTCATTTTAATTTGTTTTGCAATAGTTACGTAGACATAATAAAAATAATGGAGCAAGTTATTCGACACTACAAAACAAATGAAATAAAAAAAATACTAAAAAATATTTTAAAGTTAATAGTAATGTGTAATCGTTCATAGTGACCTCAAAATTTTAATTCACGTATAGATCGTTATAAAAAATTATAATAAAGGCATTAAACCACTAAAAAAGTTCGGTTACAAAAGATATGTCCTAAAATAAAGTTTAGGTCCCAAATAATTAATATATCAAATTTTTATTATTTCAAATAAACACTTTTAGATTATGAACGTAATTAAAACTGCTAATATTATAGCTATATACTGTGTAGACTATATACTGTGTAGACTATATACTGTGTAGACTATATACTGTGTATGACATGTTGACATGACATGTATGAAATGTATTATCACCAACAGAAGATTTAAATTTTTAAAACTTTCATATACCTAACAATGTCACTCTCACAATTGAGACGAATCTAATGACACCTCAAACTTCAAAATCTACTGTTTGGTACATACATATTAAAGCATACATATCGTCACTCGAAAATCATAACCCTCCTTCTAGCACAATCGGGTAAAAATCAATTAAGATCAAAATAAATGCTTATTTAAAATATGTGAGAAACATGTTTTCTTTGTTAATTTATTTAAAATAAGGTTAAGTTAATTTTAGTTGCACTGTTTTACGACCTGACGAGTATATCAACATATTTTTGAAGACATGACTATCTTAATATGATGGAAAAGTTTATTTAAAGCTGAATGATGATTTATAAATGGGATGAATAGTTATTACTATAAAATAGTATTCAGAACTTGCAGAGTTGAAGTTAAGACCTCTGTCGATTCAATGTTTTATATTAGTAACAGGATGTTTTGTTGCTTTTAATTTTGCTATAAATAAATTGTATTATGTCTAATCGGACAATTTATTCTAACCAAAAGACATAACTTGCATTTGCAACATTGCACATACTTTTACACAAACCCTGACCAATTATATGTGCAGCATTATGCGCTTATTCAACGTTAAATAAAAAAGCTATCAACGGTGAAAAGCGGAATAACTATTGAAAACTGCAATGAAAAGAATTAAATCTGTCTAAATTATGCATGTTATGATGTATTTTATTTTATTTGGGACAATAGACAGTTGCACAAAATGTTTAATATCAGTAAAAAGAAATAACAGTGATTATATCTGAACTCTATTAGAGAATATATATTTATTCTTCTGGTCATCCTGTTTCGTATTATGTATTTTGAGGAAATCTTAAATTAAAATATTGTGCGTGACACAATGTCGATAACATTATTAATTAAATTTAAAGTTAAATGCGGAGTGCGTATATATAAGTTTAACGGTACGAGGACTTTGGACAAGAATGTTATAGTTCGGCTTGTAAAAATAATTCAACTTTTTTAATAGGACAACTCTAAAAACCTGTCAAAAAATAGTTTTCGTGCGTTTTGTGTTGTCGTTGTCTTTTCCATGGCTTTGGCTAGTTGTTTTACGAAGAATGTATTATTAGAAGACAGACAGTGCTTTATTTGAAAGTGTTTCAAAAAACGTTTTAATGTAAAGCTATTGCTATGTGAAATAATAATTCAATTACTTTGCTGAATGTAAATGATTAAATATCTAAAGCAAGATGTCAAGTGAAGACGTGATTGAATTGGGGTCTTCGGACGAGGAAACGGAACCGGCTCGGAAGAGAGTATGTACTACATATTTTATAAACAAATGTACAAATAAACAAATTCTTAAGCCTAGTTTTTTATACCCACCCCTATTATTTGTTTCAGAGTAAACCGATGCCTAATGCGATGGTATGCATACCCAGGAAATTTCATGATGTTACTATAACGCCAGCAAAACCCAATCCTATTGCCATAGCCAAAGGATTAGGGAAGGCAATTACAGTCAAAAAAGTAGTAAACAGCAAACCTTCCAATGTAACTAAATCCAGACCTAATAATGGCATGCCAGTTCAAACATTAAAGCAGAAGTATAGTGGTAACCCACTGGCTGAACGAAAAAAAACCGTGATCATTCCGATTAAACCTAATTTAAATTTAATCCCTGTTTTGAGGCCAGGTAATCCAATACCTACTCACATAAAACCACCACCATTTTTGCAAAACCCTTTAAAAATTCAACAATCTGGTCCACTAAATCTACTGCCATCCAGCATCACAGTTAAGAAAACAATGTCTAATAGAACAATAGTCATGTTAAATAATAAGAAAAAACAAGAAACAAAGCAAAGACATGTAGGGGAAGTTTTAACTGTAGAATTAGATGATGATGAAGCACCTGCACGCAGATCAAGCCCACAGTGGTATGTGAGACCAGAGGATCAGGTACTAAGTTCAACTGAAGAAGAGAAAAATAATAAAGAGCCAGATACTTCCAAGTTAATAGAAATTACTATAGAGGATAGCCCTGCTAAACCTATTATACATAAACAAACACATACAGTTGGGGCTGAGTTAGCTATCACTATAGATGATAGTCCCGTTAAAGTTATAGTAGACAAAGATAGATCTGCAAGTGAAAGTGACAATGAAAATGATAATAATGTCAGCCAAACTCCTCGCAGTAAAAAGCAGCTGGTCTATCCCAAAGACACTGAAAATAATAAAACTGTTGAAATAGAAATAGAACCTCATTCAGTAAGTGTAAATAATTGTACTGATAGCAAGGACCCAAAAGATGATTCTTTTGTGAGCCGGGAAGAAGCCAATAAACAGAATTTAAATTATATGGCTAAAAGTGAAGGCATAAATAAAAGTGCCGATAAGGAGACTGACTCGTCGTTATCTAAAGAAAGTATTAAGGATGCACAAAATAGTGATCTTAGTGAATTTCATCCTGTTTATCAAAGTTTTATAGATCTCTGTTTCCAACTGGAAAATTCAGATGATATGAAGACAATTGTCGAAAAGAAAATTAAAGGTTATTATAAGCAAGTTCCAAAAGATTATACAGAGTCTGAGGAATTTACTGATATGGTATCAAGTAAAATACTAGCAATGAAGGCAGGTCCTGAAAAAATGTATTTGTATATAAAAGATGTTGTAGATGAATTAAATTTGCAAAGAAAATTAGCCAAAGCACAGCCTGTTAAGGAAATAAAAAATGAAGGTACTCTAAAAATAATAATATATTTTAATAAAGTATAGGGATGGTTGACAACTTATGCCCTTTTTGATGTCATAGTACTACATTCATCTAATTCTTGATATCACATCACATCATCACATCAACAGCCTATAATAGTCCACTGCTGGACATAGGCCTCTCTTTAGACAGGAGGTTTTAGCCTACTATACCACGCTGGCCAGACGGGTTGGTATAGGGTTTGTTTCAAGTTTTCCTTCTCTTTGCAGTGCTGTTGTCCGGCGTTGTTTGCTCCCTTAGTCGGCTCTTACGACACCCACGGGATGAATAGGGGTGGTGACATTCCGTATTCATAATCCGTTACCACACGGACTAATTCTTGATATACCTCTTTTCAACTGGCAAAGCATGTAAATAATTTTTTAAGGTAGTGGAGACAAACGAGCAGAAGGGTTATCTGATGGAAAATGACTACTGCCGCCCATGAACACCTGCAACCCAGAAGGAGATAGCTTTAATTGTTAAGGCAGTGTGATCTTAGTTACGTCAGCAGCAGAAGAACATTCCACCCTTCTAATTGTGTGCAACATTTACGTTAATAACATAATAACAATATACTGGTTATTGTAAATTTCTTACCACTACAAACCTGGGAAGAAGTATTAGACATAATTGCATTTTTTTTTAATTTGAACAACTTGTGACGAACTGAGCTTGGTATCACTATAATATGGAGTTTTGAAGTTAGAACAGTCAATTCTTATGAATGCCAAATGCCTAAAAAGAATGGGTGCCTATAATAAGTATTCGGAATAAGAAATCTAAATAAAATCCAGAGGACATAAATCATAATAATCATTTTTCTAATAAACAAATATATATTTAAAAAAAATATTCTTTTGCAGGTAAAATAGATTGTGTGGTTAATTAAAAAAAAATAAGTGAAGTAGTAAAAAGGCTATAGTTTAAACATTCATATAAAGTTATACTTAGGGTTATAGTCTAAAATTTAAAAAAAATAAAAAAGAGTATTTTTAAAATCGAGATTAGGCTTTTTTTAAACGAAATAGATTTTTATCACTAAATAGAATACCAAGATTTTTTATAATTATTTTAACAACTACAACATCAGTGTTCTTAATCTTAAAATGTTTTAATTGATTAAATTAGTTTTTTTGTATTAATCATATAATTGCTTATCTTCAAGTATTGAATTATTTAGAAAAAAGAAAATAGGTTTATTCTAAGAAAATGAATACACTTAAATAACAAAATTCACAATTAACAATTCAAACTGACATAGCTTACAAGACATAGCTTATAAGACGAGAAGTAAGCATCTTGTGGGATGGGAACCCAGTTCCAGGTAAACTGCGAACTAGAAATGTTTGTGGATTATGTGAAAAATATATGTCCAATGCAATTAATTGTTTTTTAAACCACAACCAGCCTAAATAAATAACTTTGAAAAAATGTAAATGACTTCCTTAACAGACTTTATAAATGTAAGTATTTTTGCAGAAGCAATACAAGTGTGTGGAGAAGAAAATGAATATGATTCAAAACGCCAAAGACAAGTCCGTAAGCTGGAGAAGACTATAAAGAAATTGCACAGAGCAATCCAGAAACTGGAAGAACAAGAGGTTGACTTTGATGATGAAGATGATTCTGTATATTTATTGACAGAAAGGTATAAAGTTATTGAAAGATGAGTCACCACTGAGTTAATTATTACCACTACCATATTTTAACGCCACTAATATGCTTTATGAGATTGTTTAAAATATTTATGATTTATCTAGTTTTCACCTGTGGCGATTGCGTTAATTTTAATTTCATCAAATATTTCTATTTCTAAAAGCCTCCTATGTGCTATTCCAAACATTCAGACAAGTTTTATGCATATCCTTTCAGCCGTTTTGGCGTTTGATTGACTAAAAAACGTCCCTAAATCCATCATCAAAAATTTTCGCGATTATAGTATTAATGAGATTACCAAATCGGATCTAATTAATAAAACGTTCAAATATAAAAAAAAGGGTGTATGTGTAAAGTGAAAAACAACACGATAGAAGTGAAACTTCTGAAAAAAATAATATCAGAAAAACCCTATAAATAGCGTTTTTCAAAATCCACACGAACAAAGTCGCGGGTACCAACTTATATTAATTAAAAAGATATAAAAATATTCATACTGTCAAAATATTACATAAAAGTTATGTATAATGTATTCTATCTCCTTCTCTCGCCGACTTAATCCTATACATCTATGTGTTTGTTTCTTTATCGTGACGTATTTTCGTTTCATCGAGTTTCAAATCACAACAACTCTAAAGAAGTTTCGCTTCTAAAATAATTAAGCAACATATAAATAGTCGCGCTACGGTGTATAATATCACTGTGTTCCTTGTCACACCCTCAGTAATCATCATCATCAACAGCCCCTAACAGTGCACTGCTGGACATAGGCCTCTCATTACAAAGGAGGTTAATAAACTAATATAAAGGCATAATACAAAAAAGTAGTATTTTGGGAAATCGCATTTAAAATTCTGGATTCTTGCGTTCCAGCTTATTTTATAACTCAAATAAAATACTTTTTATTTAAGATATAGGTGTGAAATTCTGCAGATTTATTCTTTGATAACTATACTATGAGTAGCCATAAAAATAATAATATAAATAAATTCCAAAAATTACAAGTGATTAGATTAGATTAGATTAGAAAAACACTTAAGTAAAGCCCATATACTCGTAATACAAAAAAACAGCTGCACTTTTTGGCAATTTAGCGATCTATTATGAATCAGACCAAAAAATATACTAAATTTTGTATAATATAAAGGCGCAACTATTAATCTTAAATGGTTTTAAATAATACAAAACTCACCTGGTTTTTTTTTGTGCAAACACGAAAAGAACGAAGTTTTGACAGTAACGGCACGGTTTTGACGGCAAATATAGACACGTTACTGTTTGTGACCTTGTAGCTCTAAAAACGGGAGACCAGCGGGGAGAGTGTCAGAGAGGCACAAATACATTTACCGAGTCATAATTATCCTTTTTCTTACTCTGTCAGTGCTAACCGGTAGAGGATTTCGCACTTCAGAAAAAAAATTACTTGACCTCTTATATTACTGAAGGGGGTGCGTTGTATCTCCACTCCCTCCCTTGGGATGGCGGCTGGCGCTACGCAAAACGTGTTATCTAACTCGATCTGCAATGTAATAGAGACATTATTTCAAATGGGCAAATGAAATACAATAATTCTGTTTATCTCCTTCGAAAATCTATTTTTTATAGTATCCATTTTAAATTACCCAACTAACAATTTTTTTCATTAAATCCATCCAGGTACAAAGAACGAATGGTACGAGTATATGCAAAATTTTGCCAACTGTCTAATACAAAAATGCCATCAGAGCCCCGAATACAATTAGACTCTCGGCCTGGTCAACCACCGGGACCTGCTAAACGGCTAGAGAAATGGATAAATAAGAAAGTGCCAATTGGTACACCTCTGCCATTTCCTGATTTTCACGATGTTCTTCGTTGTGTTAGAGAAGCTAACGAGGAAGATAGATTAAACTATAATGAAGCTGATATAATGGAAGAAGGTCAGAACTCAATATAATAAAAGTTCTTTTACAATCAACAGCCTTTAACAGTCCACTGCTAGACTTAGGGCTCTCCATAGAAAGGAAGTTTTGGCCTACTACTCGTATACTACGCTGGCCAGACGGGTTAGTATAGGGTTTGTTTCAAGTTTTCCTTTCCTTTGCAGTGCTGTTGTCCTGGTAGTTTGCCCCCCTTAGTCGTCTCTTACGACACGCACGGGATGATAGGCGATGAAAAGGGGAGTCAACATGAGTCAGTTTATTCTAATACTGATATTGCAGAGATATTTAAGGATGACCAATTTTGTGGTATCGATTTTGCCCTTACAATGTCATAAGCTCTGGTTACTTAAAATTGTTTCATTATCATTACTTATTAAATATATTTTTCATAAAATGATTATAAAATCTTTTACAGCTCGTGATTTGTTCACAAGATGTGGTAAAAAATTACAACGTCGCCGCCAAGAAAACGAGTGGAGATTAGCAGTTTCAAGAATAGCGCTTGATATCGATCCTGCTGAAAAAAATGAAGATTTAAAGCGAAAATTAAATGAAAATCAAAAAGTCGCCGCACAGAAAGAGACTGAAATTTTCAATAAGTAAGGGTTTAGTTTAATTTATTTATTTTTGTTGTAATGAAGTATATTAGATACTTCCATAATGAGATATACACTAAAACGCTCGAAGTTTCTCTGGGCTATGGTAAGTAGTACGTGATCGGTGTTTTTTTATAGAATATAGCTAGAAACAATCACTATCACTTTATCTCTGTGGAGCTCTTGTAATATTATTTTTTTGTAAAACTGCGAATACCATAGTAACCTCGGTTAATCGTGATCCAAGGGTTACTTCAGTCGAGTGGTTTCGCAACCTAACTTAGAGCTGTGTTGCTTTTCTCAATATATTAAATTACTCGTCTTTACAGGTATGCAGATAGACAGAACCAATTGAAATTAGTAGGTGAAGAAATTGGAGACAAAGAAGCGGAAGAATCTCCTGTTGAAAGTGAAGAAGAAGAAGCGAACGATGATAATGCTTCATTAGAAAACACGGAAAAGAGAAAAGAGAGACTTAAGAGACTTTTACAGGAGAAATCTAAGAAGACTGCTGAAGAAAAAAACAGCCAATCATCAAATGAGGAACAAAAAAATATTAATGACGAAACCATTAGGACTACTGCTGAAGTAGAAAATATTTCAAAAGCAGAACCAAATCTCAAAGAGATAGAAAAGAAGGACGAAGAAGATATTCGGGAAAATAAAGAAGATTCTAACCACGAGCCTTCTCAAGCTACAGAAACACTTACACTTAGTGACGATAGTAAAGATTTAGAATCTGATATTGATGAGTTACATTTGCTACAGAAATTGCATTCTGGAAATGAAGATCTGTCTTCAAGCATTGATTCATCAGATTCTGATAGTCCTATAGCTATTTCAGATTCACTGGAATCGAGTGACAATGGTAAAAAGAGCGCGGATGATGACGTTATTAGTATAGAAAATTCAAGTTATTCGGAAAACGAGTCCGATAAAGTTGAAGATTCACAAATGATGGGTAATGTTCAGTATTTAAACGAAGACAGTACGCCAAGCCAAGAGGCTGAAATAACTTCTATTGTTGATGAAAACGCAATGGAGGTGGACTTAAATAGTGATAAAGATGAGCAAGCAGTTATCAAAGCACCTTTTCAAACCAAAAATGCTGAATGTGACGAGGCAGTCGAAAATATTCTACTGGCATCCTCAGAGGATAGCAATAATTGTGATAGTCAGGAAGAGATTACAGGATCTGTTTGTGTTAATTTAAGAGATGATCTCATTTCTATTGACGAAACTGTCGTGGGGAATGCCACTAATGATTCGGTCATAAAAACAGAGAAAGTGCATATTACTGCAGGGTTACTTGTTACATCGTCCGAGGAAATCGAAAGAGAAAACAATACATTTGAAGAAAACATTGATAGTAATGTAAGGTCCGCAAACAACACTGTATTAAATAAAAAAGCAACTGGGCTGAATAATAAGTCTCTACCAGATACTGTTCAAACTGCAGGACATGTGCTTGCTGAAGTACAAAAAAATACTGTAGAAAGTATGAATGTTGATGAAGACAGTGTAATAAATGAATCAAACATTTTACACTCTCCAGAACAGGATATTTCAGCAATATCAAATTTGAAAGAATCATAGTCGGAACTTATAGTACATTTATGATTAACGACTGAAGTGTATAAATAACTATAATTTCGTACTTTACGTATCTAGTTCATGAAATAGTAATCATTATTGTTTTAAGTTTTGATTACACTGCTGCTGCTTTTCTTATTAATCAGTTGATAATTATTTACAGAAAATTATTGAAATCACAGAGGATTCTTTAGGTTTAAGTACTTTCGTTTCCTGATATTGTGTAAATAATATATTGCAAGGTACAATATAAAATATCTGTAATATCTAGTGGTGCGTAAATTCTATTTATGGCACCTATATTCTGTTTTATATTTTACTTGAATAGTCGAATTACGAAAGCTTACTTAATTCTTAATTATTTTTTAAGAGTCGGCTTTATTCACGTGTATTGAATCTGACAGGTGCCCTTTTCAAGGAGTAAAACCGGAGTAATATCTTTCAGATCTTGCGAGTATAGAGGATCTAGTGTTGTTATTAACCCTCTGTCAACTAAAATCCATTGAAGATTTCCATGACGGATTTTTACATAGGGGTTATTAACAGGCACTAAGCTATGTACTAGCTTAGTGCCTGTTAATATACACATGAGTAAAACCGAACGGAAAGTTTATTATAAAATTTTGTAAATACCTATCTAAAAAATAACCAGACCAATCAAATTATAAATTTTAAATTATAAGTTTGTTAAAATGTATTAATTTTTCTTCTTTAATTAAAGCCTGTAAAAAGTCTCCCAATAAATAACGACATATGAACACTTATAAATAGTACCTATTTTGTTTTGATGTAGTCACAATATTTTTTATAACTAATGCTCAAATAACGCAGGAGATATAGATTTTTATCTGATATAAAAAAGATCTTACTTTGCCCAGGGAATTCAACACAAGGTTCTTTTTAATGTTTTATTATAAGCCTCAACAAATACCCTCGTCATTAAAGATGTGAATATTGCATTGAGTTTGACTTATTTAGACGTTTTTTTTTTGTTTATGACCAGGGCCTCAATTCTGCTATTTTAATATTGTATCAATAAACTGTCGATGGAATGTCGTTGGAATAGTTGCACTTTCCATATTCTACTAACAATGTAAGACCAATGGCTTCCGATGACTTGTCACTGATACAAATGTCGTCGATGTCTTTGTAACAGTTTGGTAAACGGTACATGTTTAATTTGTAAGAAAATTATATATTTAATTTTTCAGGTATGGCAATATCGAGAATATTATATTGATGACCTATATTACTATATCGACAGTCTATTGATACTGTGAATTTATGTAGAATACTGATATTTTGACCGATGTCAATGGCGTCTCAATGGCATCTCAACAGTGTGTCAATGGAATGATAGTGGCTTGGCGTTAACATAAAATAGCAGAATTGAGGCCCAGGTAGGAACAATAAGAAATATACAACGTTACTGGTTAAGTCGATCTAGATACTTTAGGGGATTGTAGTTGCCACCATTGCTGAAATATTCTTTGGAGATAGACTGATTTAAAAAAAAAATACCCATATTTTACATACTACAATGTTTTTTACGACGTTTTTGTGTTGTTGATACGTTGTTTTATAATTTCCGTCGCTAAAATTGTAGTTATTTATTTTTATTACGTTATTAAGTTAACTACTGGATTGGTTGGAGATGGTTGATATTAGCAAGAAGTATAATTTGAAAAAAAAAACAAATGAAAATGGTCAGCAATAATAGCAACTACAACTCCCTTTAGTAACCGCCGACTTAACCAGTAACCCTGTAAATTAAATCAACGGTTTAAAACAGTTACTGCATTCTGGTTAGAGCGTGTTATTTTATTTTGCAACCTGATAGTACGGCTTATCGTATAATTTCAGCAAACCGAATGTAATTTTAGACTAAGATTTCATCGCATCACATATAGTTTTAAGAATAAAATAGCTCTCAAAATGAATTAATGGTCTATTTTTGATTTGGTATTTCACTAAACTGCATCATAAACACGTCATCCTGAGGCTGATTTTTATTAGAATACTTCTGGCATTAAGTCCGTCATATACACATTTTTTCATAACATTGTTGGTTTTTGGTCGATTCAATCTCTACAGAGTTGAGACGTGTACCCAATGGTGCGCTGGTGGTCCATGGACGCCAGTTATATACGTATGTATACACATATCGTATATATATATATATATATATTTTAGCCGGTAAGAAATATTTGAACCTCGGTTCCGTTGGTCGGACTGGAAAGACAGATAGATAATAATTCTACAATTTGCCATCGACGTTTATAAAAAAAAAGCACGCAAATGAATACATTTAATTAAAAATTTCATGTATTGATCTGATTTTCGTATTTACTATTTTTCAGCCAAAATTCTGTAATGAATAAGTGAATATCAGGAAATTCTAACATTATCTAACCCAATTGATGCACACAACAGAGAAGAGCTGGCGTTAATAGTCACTGTTCTAACATAACCTGACCTAACAAAGTAGACATTCCTAAATTAAATTTATATAGATTTAGAATTATATTTATATAGATTTCGGTAGTTCGTTAGATTTTGTTAGAGTAACAATAAAATAGTACTCAATACTCAATACTCAATACTTTATTGCTACCATAATGTAAATTTTACAGTTGGTAAAAACTTAAGCTAGGTATCAATTATGGACCCTGTCGGGCACAGCATAGAAGAGAGAGAGAGAGAGGGGAATGATTATTACTAAATTTATTTATAATATTTTTTTTTATATATATTTAATCTGTATAGTCATTATTTTATTTTTTATTTAAATATTTAATAATTATTTATTGCACTAAGTTTGTATCATTTGTTATAAAGGTTATTAGTATTATTGTGATTTATTTTGTTAATTGTTGCAATTGGTTTTGGTCAGGCTTGACTAAAACCAATTGCAACAATTAAATGCTTAAATTAAATTAAACGAATGTTTTATAATGTTGTTAAATGCATTGTCACGAATTGTTTATTTCATTCAAATATTCTTTTACACTGTAATAGCTTTTTCGCAAGAGGAATAGTTTTAACTTATTAATGAAAATGTTATTTTTTTCTTCATTCTTAATCTTTTCTGGTAGTTTATTATAAATTTTTATAGACATAACTAAGGGGCTTTTAGAATGCATAGTTAGTTTGGAAGTTGGGAGGTTAAGTCTATTTTTATGTCTTAGTGTGAATTTGATTTTTTTGTCTTCTCTTTTACTATAGTATTCCGGGTGTTTTCGAACAAATTTACTCATTTCCAGAATATAAATACATGGAAGAGTTAGGATTTTGAGGTTCTGGAAATGGGGTTTGCAGGACTCTGTTTCTTTTATATTAGTCAGAATTCTGATTAATTTTTTTTGTAGGGTAAAGGTAGTATGTGCCTCTGAACTATTTCCCCAAAGGATTATGCCATAGCTGAAGCAAGAATAAGCGTATGCGTAGTATGTGACAAGAGCAGTAGAAAGGTCTGTCGTCTTCTTAATTTCGCATAAAGCGTATGAAAATGTTGCTATTTTTGATCGAATTTTTTTTATGTGAGCTTTCCAGGTAATATGAGTATCTATAATTATGCCCAACAAGTTAAATTCCTTAACGACTTGCAGCTGAAGCCCTTCAAAGTTAAAATTTATATTTAATGGTTTCTTTTGGTATGGATGGAAAGGTATTATTTTGGTTTTAGAGAAATTTATTTCTAAGTTGTGTTCTGTCATCCAATCTGTTGTTTTAGTGAGTATTGAGTTTATGTTGTCATTAAGATTTGCATTGGCGTTAGAAGAAACTAATATGGAGATATCGTCTGCGAACATGACACATGGTTCCTTTATGTACTTTGGTAGGTCGTTGATGTAGATAAGGAATAGCAAGCACCCTATCACACTGCCTTGAGGAATTGAGGCGTTTATGTCTATTGAACTTGAATGAATTCTTTCTATTTCTTTTTTATTTTGGTTAAAGTATTCTAACTCAAATGTAATATGTCAAATAGTAATTTTTGTCTTAATAACAAACACTAAAGAGAATTAACGCAGTTAAAATAAATTCCACAAATAGGTATACATCGGGGAAATAGATAAAAACAAGGATATCGTACAACTAGATGGGTTTATGGTTAGGGACTTAGGGATAACTGATAACTGAAAGCTAGGTGGATGGATTGAGTAGTCCGTTGATATCAAACTTAATAATAAAACATTTTCGGACATCTATCACAATGCCATTTAGTTTCAAACTGAGCAGAGCTTGTCCCGGGTCGGAATGGAACGCGAGACCTCAGCACAGCAGTCGCATACGTTAACACTGTACCACCGAGGCAGTCATGTTTCGACACCACTGTGATTTTAATAGCATTGATTCTAACCATTGTATCTGGTATGTTTTGAAGATAATCCTGATCCATAGAAGTTGTAGAGCTGCATGCTGAGTTGTAGTAAGTTCCTAGTAATTGTATGTAATTAAAAAAGAAAATCGTCACAACATTTATTTACAAAGATCCATACTTAAGTACATAATGTTAAGTCTATCCTTATTTACAGATCAGTATTAATGTCAAGTGAAACAGACAGGTCCGGCATTGAAGGTGAAGTCATGTTCAGCATCGGCGAATGATAACGGTTGGAAGTCGCTTATCGGCAGTCTCTCGGTCCGAGATGTTTTTATTTCCAACACTATTTTGCCTGTCCCTTCCTGTAAAATGATAAATAAGTTGACTATATTGTTTTCTATCAGATTTGTTTGCAAATATACAAATGATTCTCGTGATGGTGATTATATCACTTATTATATGCATTGCCAAATACTTCCTATGGCAGTCCCCACATGGTGATCCAAGCAAGCTGAGTGCTGACTAAATCCATCCCGTGTAAATCGATTTTGCGACAGGGCCGGTTTTAGGAAGTTTTCTCGTAAAGTTGGAATGAAAGTTCTTCAGTAGTTTTTGGTAATAGATGCCTGAACTTTGGCAGGGTGATAGGTGGGAGAGGTCAGATGAGAATGCTTTTGCTACAGGGCTGAATTGAGATCAAGTGAACTTGTATACAGACGTGTATAAAGTGACAGGATATTCACTTAGTTAGTTTTAGTACCTACATCCTTCCTGTTTAGTGCTGCCTACTTTATGCTTTAATAAATGTGTACTACCTTTCTATGAATTGAAAATGTTATACATGATTTCCACAGAATTCTTATACAAAACCATACCTTGCAGTCATCCAATATCGTTTGCGGCTCTCTAAACTCAGCAGAATTGAAACCGAAGAGTTTGACACTGTTTAGTCTTGTCAAATCAGATGGAATATCCGATCTGTAATCATAAATTTTGAAAAATTGATGAGATGAATAGTTTTGTTTGGACACCAACTTTGTAAGTTGGTAAAAAGCTCCAAGGGTGGTTTCTTTTAAACCCACAATGATTTAAATAAAGCATAGGACACCGGTGTGTTACACACGTATTTAAATTTAATTTATAATTGTCATGTAATATGTTACCTTTGTGGCGCTTTGGTGTTTACACATGCGTAGGTGAAATTTTGTCGAGCTCCGTTTGATAGCAACCTCAAAAACCTTAACTGTATAAGACCGTTGCCTTCATTGTTGTATGTGAGCTGAAATTAAACGAAAATTGATGTGCATAAACATTGAGGATGAATAAGCAAATATATAAATACTTCATCAGTTCATTTTACAGTAAAAAAAAACTTATTACAAAAGGGCTAAATAGTATTTAGTAGTAAATACGAACATAAAAAAAAACAAACCTAAGAGTATTCGAAAAATATAGCGTAGATATAATATGTCATGGTGATACTAGAGAAAAACGCACAAATATATTGCTTACCTTAAAACCATTATCAAGTTGAGAGAATTTATGTGCAGGTGCATTGGCTGTGAATATATCAGGCCCTCTGTCGTCTGGGTACACGCAGGTACTGTGGCCTTTGCAATACACACGGATTGGATTACCTCCGCCCACGCCACCACGTGCGTCGATCCAGTAGTATCCTATATAGGGTAAGTCCATAATTAATTAGGTTCCTGATTATAGTCAAGAAATTTTAATTCTACCTTACAAATATTTTTAGAAAGGCAATCAAGAAAATAAATCTATTGGCTATCAGAAATGGGTCGATACTGTAACTAAACCTTCATGACGATCGCATGCTTAGTAAGGCCTCAAAATAAAGCGTAAATTAAAAAAAAAATTGAAGCTAAGTACAGTCCGATGCAAACTTAATGGCGGCCCGGCACATCGTGCGTTTCGATGCGCAGAATGCAATAATAGCACGGGGACAAAACAATTTGCACGTTAAGGTTTTGTGTTGCAGATTTGTTAAAATAATCTTTTTTTAAAAACATTTTAATGGCCGCCAATTAATAGATTGAAGGTAAATTATTTCTAAATTTAAATTAGTGTTAAACTTCCAGTAAATTTTCTTTAGTATATTTCTCATAACAAAGAGTTATTAATTAGGTGAATAAAATTGAAATTACCATCAGTTAGATTTACGTGCGCAACTCTCAGATCACGGCAAGACAACGCTGGGTTGCTCTTTGTGCCTCGAGGTCGTTTTGTCGCCTCGAGAGCTCCTCGTGCTTGAAGTACACCTGTCATGATTTCCTTCACCCATTCTAATTCTTCATCTTCTAAAGTAAAAGAAGATTATTACTCTATGGATACCATCAACAATCAATTTTGATTGTGGCTCAGCGGTATATAATACATATTTGCATTTTTTTGGGCGTTTCCAAACTATAACAAGCTTTGCTTAGTTATATTCAAGATAATTATTGTTATTTTACCTTCTTCAAAGTTATCTTCGGTTGCCGATTCTGGAGATTGTAATTCCACACTTCGACGTCGTCTCGTATATGATGTTAGGAATTCCGGAGGTAATTGAGGTGCTGGTGCTGGAGGTCCTGGTGGACCTGGAGCTCCAGGAGGTCCGGGCAGACCTGGTCTTCCTTCCGGACCGGGAGATCCTTTAGGCCCGAGTTGGCCTTCCGGTCCTGATAAACCAATAGGCCCTGTATCGCCTTTAATTCCCAATGGTCCAGGAGGTCCCTGTGTAATAAATAAATGTGTAACATTTCTGTCATGTAATGCATTTTAATATTCATTGAGAACTGTGTTTCTTGTTGTGGACTTCACTGTGTGACTGTAAAAATTAACCGCTGTTAAACGGGGTAAACAAATGACCGACTTCATTAAATCATAATATAGTCATGAAATACGACCAAGTCGACCAATGTTATATTTTGATACTCCTATTAGAATGAAGAAAAATGTCTACCGCATAGACCTAACTTAAATATGAGTTTGAGTTCATGTGACTTTCCAGATAATAGCTTTTTCGATCAATTTAACTTGATAAGACTTTAGTATAAAAATAAAACAAAAATAAGAGTTACCGTACCATATCTCCTTTAAGGCCAGGGGGTCCAACTGGACCTGGTGGACCTTGTTTGCCGATTTCGCCTTGATCACCCTTAAGACCCATAATACCAGTGTCTCCAATGTGTCCTTTTGGCCCTCGGGTACCCTTTTCACCTTTAGTTCCTTGTGATCCTGTAGCACCCGGTTTTCCGGCTGGACCCAAAGGTCCTGCAATCCCTGGTGCTCCTACTTCACCCTAAAATATGATTAATATTTAATATATTAAATATTATATTATAAATAATTGTTAAAAGGAATTATATAAATTTTGGGTTTTTACATATTATTATCTTATATATAAAATTCTCGTGTCACAATGTTCGTTCCCGTACTCCTCCGAAACGGCTTGACCGATTCTCATGAAATTTTGTGTGCACATCGGGTAGGTTTTTTTTGTTTTGCAATACAACGTTTGCCGGGTCAGCTAGTAAAACTATAAAATTGATAATATCGTTTATTTATATATCGTTTATTTTCTCTCCAAAACCAAGATGCATACAATGAAAATACGATTACGCTATAACATTTGACAATTTCGGTAGTGGATAGCTGGTGCCTGAGGTAGGTATAAAAACCTGTGTTACAGGACACCAGGTCCCCAGTCGGACCTCGTCTTGACATTTCAAAATACCTTTGTGAGGTGGTTACAATATAGTTGTGCAAGAGTACAAAATTTAAGAAAAAAAAGAAAAAGAAACAAGCGGGAGTAGTAATAATTGTAACATTAACAAAAACAGTTTGTGTGTGTGTGTGTGTGTGTGTGTGTGTGTGTGTGTGTTTATGTATGTTTGTGTTTGTAGTGAGATTGGAGTATATGCGCTATGTTTGCAAGCCCTACGACATGGTCTTGGGATCGGATCAGTCATATGACATATCCACTAGACTCACATATGTGCGCACACCAGTTTCTTTAAGATTTATGTACAATGCATGTTTTAGTGTTTGATATGGAATGGATGCGCCAGTGTGTCACTGTAAGATCATTAATAGGTCCTCCGTCTCTTTATATGATTGCTTTAAGAGCCATTCTGAGATGATGGCTTTACATTGGTACGTATAAAGACTATGTAGGGACAGGGTAGGGTAGACTATGTAGGGTATGTGATGTAAGCTGATCTTAAAGAAATGTGTGCAAGGTGTGTCAGTGCTTATAAGAAAGTTAATATAATGTTACAGTTATTACAAAAAGAGGTCTTCCTTGCTACCATAAAGTATTAATCATTTCAAATAATTTTGACATAAATGTTTCTAATGAACGTAAAAATATGGCGTGTATTTCACATTTAAAAGAGGTTGGTATAAGTAAAATACTTTACAAGTACTAACTATGGGGCCAGGTGCACCTCGGATTCCTCGCTGACCCTCTGGTCCCGAAGGACCAGGTGGTCCATTCGCGCCGGGTTCTCCCGGAGGCCCTTTGGGGCCTACGTCACCTTTATCTCCTTGTAAACCGGGGCTACCTTGAGTTCCTGCTGGTCCTTCTGTACCCTAAAATTATTAAAACATATTTACATATAGTTTTATTACTTATTTATTTATTCGTTTTTTTTTCACTTACTGGATTTCCGGGCATTCCAGCTTCACCAGGTTTGCCCGGTGGGCCTACTGGTCCAAGTGGTCCCGGTGGTCCGGGACTGCCTTCTGGACCGTCCGATCCAGGATCACCCTTGACACCTTGTGGACCAGCTTCTCCTCGCTCTCCAGGTAATCCACTAGGTCCCGTGTCACCTTTAGGACCTTCTAAACCTGGTGGCCCCTTAGGCCCAGTATCACCTTGTAAGCCAGGCGGGCCGTCATCACCTTTTGGTCCAACTTGGCCTCTTGGACCCTAAAAAGGGATATTTGGTCATATTTTTATAATCATTGGATAGACGCATTATACGAGTATATGCTATAGAATACTTCTTTTATAATTTGCAAGGGTAACGTAAAATTTGAAAGGTAACCAATGAAAGTGCTAATGAACTCACTAATTTTCCTTCAGGACCTGGCGATCCTGGTAAACCAGGTGCACCGGGACTCCCGACATCGCCTTGTTGGCCTTCAGGGCCCCTCGGTCCAACTTCACCTTGAATACCTTTGGGTCCTCGCCGTCCCGGTGGTCCACTCGGGCCGGCTGGTCCTGTGGCTCCTTTGATCAAAATAGAATGTATAAGTTGGACGACTACTACTTTTAAGTAGCACTATTAACTTAACCGTGATGGTTTTTCTTTTAAAACCATACTATATTGAAATACAAAAAATAAAAGGGTGTGTGGGGAGGGACACTAGAAATGTAACTATGTAATGAAAATAGCACTTTTAAAAATTAAAATGACACAAGAGAATCACCAAAGCAAAAAATAGTCTCCACACCTAACCAAAGTTTTTAAAGACCGTACCTAATTGTCCGATGTCTCCCATATCTCCCTTAGGTCCTTGTTGTCCCTTTTCGCCCTGTTGTCCAGCTGGGCCTGGTGGACCTATTGGTCCTCGAACTCCATCAGTGCCTGGTAAGCCGGGCGAACCTAATTCACCAGGTGGACCTTTATCACCAGGTAAACCAACAGGTCCCGCTTCTCCACGAAGGCCTTGGACACCAGGCGATCCCGGTGGACCCTACGATGGTACATTTATTTGAAATTTATAAGTGTATTTTTGTCCTTAAAATAGGCAATATACCACTAACTAAAAAAAAATATCGTAACAAGTCAGGCGTAATGTGTGACGTCCCTTTTTCTGCACCGGAATCTTGTGGCCTGTTTGATTATTGTATTGTCGATGACAAACTCATTCATAGCCAAAATAAAAAACAGGCCTAATGAATGCGTAAAATAAACAATAAATGCATACCTGCTCTTATTATGATGAAAAGTATTAATTTAATTTTATCATATACTTAAACAGTTACTATCTAAGTAATTAGACAACACAGTAACTCTTTCGACTACTTTGATTCGTTCTTACAATTTCTCCCATAGCTCCTTTAAAGCCTTTTTCACCCGGAGGTCCAGCTTCTCCTTTATCACCGTCTTCACCAGGAGGGCCCACGGGGCCAGGGACGCCAGTTAATCCTCTTGGTCCAGGCAAACCATCCCTACCGATTGGCCCTTAAAATAGACAAGTGGTGTTAAAAATCTCAAGTTTATACTTTCTTAGATTATTTAAAGAAATATCTGATTAGGTGAATGCTTTACGTACCTACTGGACCTGGTTCTCCAATTTCACCTTTCTGGCCTCCAGGTCCAGAAGATCCACGCAGACCTTCTCGCCCCTGAGGTCCTTGTGGACCCTCATTGCCAGGTACTCCTTGTTCGCCTTTATCTCCTCTCACTCCTGCTGGACCTATTGGTCCCATATCTCCTTGCGATCCTGGTGTTCCCTACGCAAGAATGTGCTAATTGGTTTAATCAAATTATATTTATCGCTTTTAATGATTAAAATAAAACCTTACTTACAGGTGGTCCTGGTAGGCCTGGGTCACCATTATTGCCTGGTGGGCCTTGGGATCCTACAGGACCCGGTTTTCCTTCAGGGCCTGGTGGTCCAGGTAGTCCTTCTTTACCTACTTCTCCGGGTGTACCGACATCTCCAGGTGTTCCAGGTATACCAGATGCTCCTGGTGGTCCTGGTGGTCCAGGTTCTCCAGATGAACCTTGAGGTCCTACAGGTCCTGCGGGTCCAATTTGACCTGGTGTGCCTGGACCACCCTAAAATATAAGCGGCCAAGTTAAGCAATGTTCTATGTTATTTAAAAATAACCATATTATAATTTATTACAAATCAGGAATTTTTAGATATTTAATTCCAGTCGAAATACAAAAATAGAAATAGCTGAAAATTATTGTCCAAGAAACTCGGTAACCCGTATTAGTGACAAATCGATTAGACTGTTTCATTGAAAGCCAAATAATTAAACGCTGTTCAATATTATAATGTTAAATATTGTTTCTTCATTGGGCTAATTCTGTTGTTCGAAAACTCTCTAAAGTAAACTAAAAATCACTAAAAATTACTTAAGTCCAGTCAACTACTATGTTTTTAGAATACGAAACGTTTTTTAACGGAAACAAACATTTTTTTTTGTGATTTTTAGTTTAGTTTAGAGGGTTTTTGAACAACAGAATTAGCACCATTGGTCAGTAAGAATAAAATAAATCGTTGTGGTACGAAACAGGTGTATGGTATTTTTCACTAAGCGATTTTTCATTTAAATAGACAATCGAAATCTGGCTGTCAGTCTGTATCATTTAAAAGGTTTTGTAACTGTTGAGCCATGTAATAGTTGTTGAGACATACATATCCATAAATGTATCATAATGTTATCATTGTTTCTTGACAAACAATGATAACAATAATATAATTTTTAGTTTGTAGTAATTGGCTACAAACAAAACAATAATATAATACGAGAATTTTTTTCTTTTTTTTTTCCGTGCGGAAATCCCCTCGGATACCACCTATCGGTGGCATGTCGGACTCGAACCGACTAAAACCGCACGCCGTCTCGGGTACTAATAGCCGGGGAACCAGGTATACCCTAGAAAGGAAGTCCCTGGTGCCCCGACATACCTCGGGCCATCTACAGACGAGTAGACGACCCCCCCCGTGTGGGAACCCCATGTTCCCTCTGCTCTCTCGAAGCCCGGCCTGCTTCTGCTAGGGTGAGCCCGTTCCTGGGCCTGGCGGGCCGGGAGAGTTCTAAACCTCTCCCGGTCCCGCTCCGTCGTCTTCTTCGCGAGCATAACTTGCTCGCAGAAGGAGACGGCAGAGTTCCACGCACTCTCGCTCCGCACGATAGCCGCAATCAGGCTATCGAGCGAGAGAACTCCCACTCCGATGGCCACCACGAGGTCTCGCCTCTGCTCAACCCACGCCGGGCACTCTACCAGCGTGTGGAGAGCCGTGTCCACGGTCTGGCCATCGCAGTGGTGGCACTCAGGCGTTGGCTCCTTGCGGATCAGACACAGGTGATCCCCGAAACATCCTTTCCCAGTGATCACCTGCGTCAGTCGGTATGAGAGGGTCCCGTGACGCCTCTCGAGCCAATCCTCCATAACGGGTCTTACCGCCGAGTTGACGGCGTGCCCGAATACGAGAAGCCTGGGGGTTAATTCACTCTTAAAAACATAGTAAACATATCATATAATAAAGTGACTTACAGTAGGGCCTCGTTCACCAGGAGGACCGGGTAGACCTGGCTTCCCATCAGATCCTGGTGGTCCTATAGCGCCAGGAAAACCACGGATGCCTTCCAAACCTTGTGGTCCCCTTTCACCTATTGGACCCGATGGTCCTGGTTGTCCTGTATCACCTTTAGGTCCTGGCGGACCATCTGAGCCACGACGGCCACGGGGCCCTCTGTAACCCTAGAAAATGCATAGATAATCATGGTTTCATCCATATACATGAATAATACCACTGTATTGCCTACATTCAGTTTTTCTGCAAAAAACTGCAGTATTTTTTTAGATTGTGGAATATTGTTGATTTGCAGGGTAATATTTTGTTATAGTCTTTTCCAACAATAGAGAAACTGTAGTAGACGAAAACGATCAATTTAAATTAGGCGGAATGATTTCATAAAAAATGATTTCAGAAAATCTATTGGTTTTATTCTTGTAGATTTATAGTTAATACAGCACAAATCTAAATATATCGGACGTTACCAACAGTAAAGCTTTCATATGATACTGTTTCTGGCTTTCCACTTTCCATTATTATACAAAAACATGATAAAAAAAACAATTCATATAGACGTTACTCACCCTTGCTCCTGTTTCTCCTCGATCACCTGGAGAGCCCACTAAACCCTATAAGTAGAAGGAAAAAAAAAGTATGGATAATATAATTACAAAATCATCAGCTTCATAAAAATAATATTGTTGATTTCGCATTTTACCATTAAGCCTTTTGTTCCTCGGCGGCCTCTTCTTCCAAAGGCACCTTTGTCACCCTTTTCTCCTTGGCCACCTGGATATCCCTGTACTCCTTGATGACCGGTCGCTCCTTTTTCACCGGACGGTCCTCCGGGCCCAGTCTCTCCTCTAGGACCTTCTACGCCTTTAGGTCCTTCAAGCCCCTCAATACCGGGAGGTCCAGGCTCTCCTGATAGTCCTCTTTCTCCCTTCGGACCCATTTCTCCTTTTTCTCCTTCGATACCTGATGATGTAGTATTTAAAAGAATTAGCCTTCTCTTAAAAAAAGGTAATTGGTAATGATGTATTAAAAAGTTACATACCTCTTAATCCTTTATCACCTTTGTCACCTGGTAGTCCTCTTGGACCTTCATCTCCCTTTAAACCTCGACTACCAGGAAATCCCAACATTCCCTATAAGCAACATTTTATTCCAATATTTAAAATTATTCTCAATTAGAAAATATTACATAAATAAAAAAATATACCTGTGGTCCTTGAGGCCCTATGTCTCCTGGCGATCCTTGTTGACCTGGATTGCCTGGTGTACCTGGTGATCCTTCTGGACCCGGTAGTCCAGATATACCTGGTTTTCCTTGAGGGCCCTTAACATAAAGAGTCACAAAATAAGGCAATTGAATAAATATCTTCTTGTCGCTTTCGTTATTCCATTAATGATAATCATAAAGCAGTTAATGTATGTTGCTTGCAACTAAGAAGAAAAGACTACTTTCTGCTTGTGCAAGTGGAAAATATTAATATGGTATTTCGGATGTTACATTGTTATATTAATTCATAATGTTACACAATAGAATTTATGTGTAATGAAAAATTGCACTAGAAAATGATTAATTTACTTGAATTCCTGGTGTCCCAGTAGGACCTTGGGGCCCTGGTGAACCAGGGGAACCCATAGTGCCTGGTTGTCCTGGTGGTCCTGGAGCACCTGGCTGTCCAGCTGCACCTTTCGTACCTTGCGGTCCCTCGAGTCCTGGTATACCTGGATATCCGATTAATCCTGGAAATCCTCTAGGACCCATGAAGCCTCTAGGTCCCTAAACATAAACAAAAGAAAAATAACAAAATCTGTTGTTTAATAATTAAACTGAAATAACTATAAAAGTTATAATATTTACCAGTTCACCAGAAACACCAGGCGGACCGGGTGGGCCGTCGTCTCCTGGAGCTCCATCTAAACCAGGTGCTCCTGGCTCACCTTGTAGTCCTGGACTTCCTCTTTCACCTTTATCGCCAGGTATTCCCATCAAACCTGGATACCCTTGCTCTCCTTTTGGACCGGATGCTCCTGTTGATCCCCTTTCTCCATCACGTCCTGGATGACCGCGACGTCCTAATCTACCAGGAGGTCCTTGTATACCTCTGGGACCTGGCGGACCCTGTTGAAGTAGGATGTGTAATTTATAGAGCCTTTAAATTTAATAGCACCAATTAAATTCTACTGTCCGATATGGAAATATAGTGTTGCATTTTAATAATATGGTTTTGACACGGTGTTCCCGTGACTATAATACTAATAAATAATAATATTTTCGCACATTTCACACACGGTCTGATCCCAAACTACTACCCAGAGCCTGTACAATGGTGACCAGACTGCTGATAAACATACTTATTAATTTTTAAAAACATAAATGTTATAGATAAAGTATACCCAGACACAGAACAAATGACCTTGCTCATCACGCAATTATTAGTCTTTTGTAGGAATCGAGCCCACAACCTTTGGCGTAGCAGTCAGGGTCACTAACCACTAGATGAATAGGCCAGTCAAATTTTATTATATTAGTTAATTATAAGACGTAGTTGCCCTATGTGTTAATCTACTTTAAGTAGACTACTTATTGGATTTAAACAGATCGTTTTAGGGCGTTTAACCGACACCCGACAAAAAATAAAACGTGTGCCAGTCTGGACTTAACTTTCGCATTTCAAATAAAATCGAAAGTGCTTTATAGAAAAAAAAATATTCCGACGAATTGAGAACCTCCTTCTTTGTTGAAGTCGGTTAAAAAGCTACCATTTTTGACTTACAGGTTCGCCTTGCTCTCCTTGTTCTCCCTTTGGTCCTTCTGGTCCAGTTTCGCCTTCAGGACCGGCAGGTCCTGTCATACCCATAGGCCCTTCGGCTCCACGCATAGCAGCCTGTAATTTTTTGTTACTATTTATGGGCCATTTGTTCAATTGTAATAATTATTGAATTCAATTGTAAAATTCAAGCTAGGTTAATACTCTGTTGTACATTATTGAGAGATTTAAAAAAGAAATATGTTTTTAAAGGTAAATTAACACTCACAAAGCCATATGGCCAATAGATATCAAAGAAGCAAGCTTTTTTTTAGGTTTGCGATATTTGATAGATTAGTTACGTATATACAAAATCAACAATGAAATTTAGTTCTTTCTCCTATCAATGCCATATTACAGGATACATGTAAAATTCTATAGAAATTAAAAATGCCTAGTCAGGTTTTAGAACATATTCCAGAAAATTTATATAATATCAACCTTAAGGCCACTTAAATGAGATACATTCAAAACTATGCACAAGTAGAATTAGAACATACCATATGCTGCGTAAACATTTGTCGTAGTGCTTCCGATTGAGCGTCCGGGCCTTTGTCATTGCTAGATTGTTGTAACTGCAAATAATATAGAAATTAGAGCGTTGGAAATTAGATGAGGTAATTATAAATGGCCTTTATTCAACGCTAAGTGAATGAGTTTTGAGGTACATATAAATAAAGATAGTTTATAATGAAAAAACGAAGGGGAAACTATCAATTAAGTTATCTGAATTGTTGCATCATTCAAACAAATCATTTTAAAATCTATAAATAACAGTTAGTGTTCTTCATCATAGGCGGTAACGTCTAGCAAGTGATTTGGGACGAAAATGTTCACTAGCCTTCCTTAGCTTCTATACAGGCCATAATTTGTTACTACGGTATGGTGCGATTACTACTTACGGGTATTACAAATACATTGCCCGGTGCTCCTGGGAATCCTTGCAAACCTTCAGCGCCGGTCTTTCCTGGTTCCCCTTTAGGTCCTCTTGGCCCTTGTTCACCAGGTGGACCTGGGTAACCACGAGGACCGAAGTAAGTGCCAGATGGTCCATAGTCATCGTAATCCTTTCCCGAAACGTCGTACTCGGAAGTTGAGTTGTCCTGAATATGTTTGTACAGTTTAATTATAAGTGTGTTTTAAAGAGTATTTTTAGACAATGTTAGAATACCGATATTGACTAGTATTCACCCAAAAGTTTTTTATTAAATAATTATCAATATTAAGGCCTTCAAAAAACATTTGACTAAACTAACTAACATTGAGCACTTTGTCCTTTTCTCATCTTTTTCTACATGAATTAAATATCCAGAAAAGATGCATTTTACAAATAGCAATAGACATTACAGAGACTACTACTACTAGTAAAGACTTGTACTAGTAAGTCACTTAACAGCAAGAAAAGTAAAAAAGTTCTCCGAACAAAAAATAAAAGCAGTGGTTTTGAAACTTGTGTTATCTCACCTGGGTGTCATCCGGTGGGTGTGTGAGCCAATCTGTGTCCTCAGTAGTACTAGTGCCATAAGGTGTCTCCGTGACAGTTAATGTAGAGCCCGTTATGTCGGTATTGTCGTCGTCCCTTCGTTTAGACTGCACAAATAATCTCACGTTCAATAAAGATTATTGTCAGAATGGTCGAACTTCTTTGTAACTTCTATTTACTTATACTTTCGGTTTTATTTTTTAATTTTTGCTTAAATTGTATTTTTGTGTGATAAAATAGGTCATGCAATTCGGCAAAGAATTAATTATAAAGAGAAAGTTCTATGTACCGTTTACAAGTTTTGAATACGTGTAAAAGAGTGATTTTCTGCTCTATTGGTTACCAGGGTTAATAAGTGAATTTTTATCTTGTTTATTCTTCTTTATATATGCATGGTAATAATATTTTTTGTAGCTACAGTTTCAAACAAGTTCGTTAACGCAAGAACGCCAAATTTCGAATTTCGCCAAATTCTAGAAAGGCAAAGGTTAAAAATTACGTGAGAGTAGCTACACCAAGCTTCAGGGGGCCTGTGTCCTGTATTAACCCGACCAGTAGGCACGTAAGCCCCAGTTCAAATAATACTGGCCTATAAAATAAACCAAACATTAATGATAATCGAAATTCGTTCTTTAGGTTATCACTTGACTCAAATCACTAACATTTTTAATGGATATACTACTTTTTTAATGGATATAATGGATGTACTTTACAAGGCTCAAAACAAACGGGACATAACATAATATACAAATGTATTTTTATTTGTTATTCATTTATATCTAATCCATACTAATATTATAAATTTGTCTGTCTGTTTGTGCTCTTCACGCTTAAACCGCTAAACCGAATGAGATGAAATCTGGTTTAGAGATAGTTTGAGTTCCGGGCAAGGACAGCATACGTTTTTATCCCAGAAATCAGCCATTAAGAGAGTAAAAAGGGGGGTAGAAGTTTGTATCGGGAATCAACAACCGCTGAACTTTTTGTGATGGAGGATAGGAGGTCTACGCTTAACCATATTATTTCAGAGAAAGTCACATGAATAGTTTGTATAATCCTTAGTCATGCTTAGCAATGCCGAATAAATAATATTAACAAATTGAATTACCCTAGGTGTTGTTTGCTCCGACTCTATCGGGCTCGACTCAATAGGGATCGGGGATGCAGGTGTAAATGAACCGAAGATGCTGTTCTCATCTGTTAAAAAATTAAATGTGAATAAGCAACTTTATGGGCTTCTGGAACTATATTTGATGCTGTCTAATTTATTTGTTAACCCCTACCCCTTGGAAGTATTTTTTTTTTGATAAAAGGTTCCCTAATTTCTTTTATATCCCTCGTAACGGGCATGCAACAGTTCATTATGATTGGTTGCGTATTTCGGAGGTAAAAGCTATATATATTTACATTCGTATAGTTAATTTGCTTAGAATATTTTATAGAATTATTTAAGGCTTGGCCAATCGCAGTTTCTTCAATTACAAGACGGACATTTGCCCGGGAATGCGACCCCGTCCTCTTTGAGCTACTGAATCCCTTTTTCTAGCTTCTTCGTCCTATCCGTTTTCCGAAACCCAATTTACCCTTCTTGTTGTTACATAGGAATCCTTGACCTCCATCACTTCCTTTGTTCCATCTGAAAACTATTACTTCCACAAGTAGGGTCGTTGCCACCCAGGCGGCTGGCGATCAAAATTAAACGCTATTGCAATGGTACATATAAAATATTAGCAAATTGCATTGAGTTGAGAAAAGGGCACAGATGACGTGGTGATTCTTACCATAGTCTGTTGAAGGTCCATATTGATTTGCAAGAGGATAGATATTAGAATCTATCAATGAAGGTGCAGCGGTGGTCAGCACTTGTGTATAAAAATTGCTATCCGATTCATTTCTGTTAAAGAATCTATTCCGACTATAACTTCCGTATCTTCTTCGCAAATCCTCATCTGTTAAAGTGTCCAGATTTGAATGCTGTGTGCTTTCTATTTGTTCAGTGTATAATATCGGTTTGATCTCCGGCTCCGGCAGTTGGTCTGGTGATGCAATATATTGTAGTCCAGGTTCAGAGGGGCAGTCTGGAGCCATAGTGAGACACATATCGTAAGCAGCATTTGGTTTATCAGCAAATTGTAGAAGTTCTATGTCTCCCTGGAAAAATAAATAAAAAACTGTAATAAATGAGCAGACGATTCAGACAGCTTAGCGATTTAAAAACATAATGAATATAATTTTGGCAAACACTCGCCACTTATGCTACGTTACGATACGTAACGTTCATATCGTTTATCATTAGAACCATCTACACTCTACACCACATCTTAGTTATTAAAAACAACTACTCCTTAGCAAAAAATATGTTTAACTGCTTACTACTTACCTCATAGTATTGATCGGCGGTGACTTGAGACCCGACTACAATAGCCCCAGCCAAGTTAAAGGTGCTACCTGGTCTGCGGTTTAGAGGCAGCGTCTCGTGTATTTCACAGTCCACCAGTAAAGTGGCCGAGTCTCCTTTTATGCTGACAGCAATTCGATGCCACCTGAGGAATGTATTTATTCGTGGTGATTGCTTCTAATAAGTTAACGGCAACCGTAGTGGAACAAAAATAACGTTTAGAACAGATGGAACTTTCGCGCGCCAACATATATCCAGATTATTGATCTCGATAAATACAAAAAGAGTTCGAACTCGTAATTCAATATACGTTCTAGGATCCTTAGGACAGTTTAGCAGCAAATACGCTATAGCTGAGTAATGACTAAGTAATATCAGACAGCAAAGATGTTGCACGCAGTGTTAACATTATCCTATTACTATTATTTTAGAAGCGTGGACATCCTTAGCAATTAGTACAAAACTTTTCATTTAAATATGGGGTATATTTCAGAGGCATACTTCAATTTCAGAGTATGCGAAGGTAAAGAACGGGGTTTTACGACATTTTTAAAAGATTTTTTCCTTAAAATAAAAAATATACATCATCATCATCATCATCAACAGCCTTTACTAGTCCACTTCTGGACATAGGCCTCTCCTTAGAAAGGAGGTTTTGGCCTACTATACCACGCTGGACAGACGGGTTGGGATAGTTTGTTTCAAGTTTTCCTTCTCTTTGCACTGCTGTTAGCCTGCGTTGTTTACTCCTTTAGTCGGCTCTTACGGCACCCACGGGATGAAAAGGGGTGGTGACACTCTGTATTCTTAATCCGTCACCACACAGAAAAAAAATACATTATATAAAATATTATTAAATATAAAAAATTAGTTCGAAGTACACAAATCTTAAAAAGAAATACGTGGTCAAAATTATTGAATGGGTAAATTGGGTTCATGGCTTACAAGGTCAAAAACTTTTTCTTCTCAAACTGTCACTAATTAGTTGGTCTTCGTCCATCTTAACTTCCAAAGTTTGTGTGCTCCCCGAAATAGTTATTCTGTTTCTGTGTGTAATTATCTAAGGAACTACTGTGTACAAACATTTGGGCTAGTTTTCTGAATAGAGATAAATCGTGCAATCACTTTTAACTTGTACTATTATTTTGGTTCTTGATGTTTTATAACCGACAAGTAAATCATATAACTATTAAGGTTTAGTTATTTGAGCTGTAAACAACCAGAAACTTTACTATTACATTTACTAATATTACACTTACTAATTTTACACTTACTAATATTACATTGATAAGTGGCATAAACATTATTATTCGTTTCAATATTTAACCGACGTCAAAAAGTAAGGAGGGTATCAATTTGGTTGTTTTTATTTGTGTATGTTCAGGCATCCAAACTTCAAAGGAGAGGCCTATGTCCAGCAGTGGACTGTTAAAGGCTGTTGATGATGATGATGATGTTGGGGCATAACTCCCGTCATATATGGACCGATATTCAAAATTATTTTTTTCGAAAGGGGTTTATTCCGAAATGGTCCCATTTAAATTTAATATAGATCTGATGATGAGTTTGGGAGACAGATATCGGAACTCGAGAGTTTTAACGGGACTCCAAGGGCAGCAACGCACTTGTGACTTTTGAGTTGCAGGTGTCCATGGGCGGCGGTAGTTGCTTACCATCAGGTGACGGCAGACGGCAGAGCAGGCAGGAGCAGGCAGACGGGTCTGCTCGTTTGCCACATTATTATACAGTTATACCACAAAAAAAAATATTTTATTGATATTAGTTGTGGGCTCCGATTTCCACATTTAGACTCGAGAGCGGTCCTTTATGCGGCTAGGAGAGGTTGGCGAGGTAAGCCAACCAAGCTTCTTCCAGAAGCGCAGAAGCCTCTTGGGACGTTCACAGACTTCTAGGAGTGATTTTGTACCAGGTATGGTACTAGGCCGTTGTGTGCCTACTCCCTCGTATTCCATGATTTCGTGGGTGGCCGTGTCTTCTGCTTTCATGCATCCTTTTCAAAGAGGGCTGAGGCTAGTTGACAAAATTTCAATAACTGCTTAATATTTTAGCTTATTAGGCATTTTATCGAAATAAAAGGTTTATTTATTTTTAATCGAATTTTCGAATTTCAATTTGGTTCCAAAACGCACAAGACTGTCATGGCGTCTTGAATGACGTCACGCCGTGCGAAACAAACCAAAGAGCGATCGTGTCTTCGTACGTTATAGCCAGTTTTTATCGTTTAAAAATGAATTTCTCATATTATAAGTACTGTATAGTGCCCCAGTGTGATAGCACGACTATAAAAACGCCAAACAAGTTATTTATATATGTTCCAAACAATGGAAAAATACGGAAAAAGTGACTAAAACTTGCAAGAAGAGATGATGCTCATACTTTATCAACAGGTTCAAGAATGTATTTTTGTGAAGATCATTTTGATGTATTTCACACAATACAATCTATTACTTAATTCGAGCAAACTAGATGTGTTTTGTAGAATCCCTATTTTCTAAATAATAAATACATAGTTCAGGTTAAGTTGTTTCACTTTTAGGAGTGAACGTTTTATTTTAGTTTTCTAATTAATGTTACAAAAATACTCTTTTTATTATTCTAGTTGCCAAATGATATGATTAGTTATATGGAGTATCATATGAAGGGAACAGTATCACAAGTAAGCATGAAACCAGGTTGTATGCCAAGTAAATTTGGATGTCAAGAAGACAGAAGAAAACGAACATGCAGCAGTACAGAACGGCCATATATTCTAAAAAAACAAAGAAAGATGATAATAGAAGAGTGTCTGAATGAATCAAAAGAAAGTTGTACTCCAAGTGGTTAATTCTTTCAAATTATAATTATCAAAAACTGTATTAACTTGATATTAATTGTTAAAAACCAAAATTTTATCAAGAACAGGTAGTGATACTCGAAACGTCAAAGACAAGATTGGAGTTTCGCACGGCGTGACGTAACGCTTTCTGATTGGTGTTCACTGTCACGTGACTAAAGGTTTCATTTTACGAAATTTATTTTTTAAAAATATTATTAATCTTTAACGCTTTTAATAATTAAAATTGTTTGTTATTTTCTCCATAATATAATTAATCATTATAAACCCCTATCCATTATATTTATTCTTAATGGACACAAGCCTATTGTGAATAGGTAAGTGCCTCTAAGTTTGTCTTTAATTTTTGGAAACAAAAAGAAGTTGCAGGGTGCTATGTCCGGGCTGTAAGGCGGATGTGTCATTAGTTCCACATTTGAAGCCCTCGAATAGGTTTCTGTTACCTTAGCGGTATGTGAGGATGCGTTATCGTAGTGAAGGAGGACATTGCTTCGAGGACGCTTTTCGCGAACTATTTCTAAGACTCTGGGCAAGCAGGTGTTGACATACTAATCTGCAGTCACTGTCATGTCATCATTGGTTGCTTCATTTTTCGGCAAATCAGGACATTACGTCCTGATTTGCCGAAAAAGCAACCAATTTTTACATATGCTTCGACTTTTCTTAACTTTCGTCGGCAAATCTTCATAAGAAAGACTCACTATCGACTGGCTTTTTCTTTCGTGTTCAAAACACCCTGGTTTCGTCACCTGTCACAATATTATTAACAGCCAATGAAGTCCAGTCCCCTGTTAAACTTTTTTATCATTTTACGGCACCACTAGACTCCGTTAAATGATGCGGTATCCATCGAGTGCAAAGCTTCCGAACCTTCAGATACACATGTAAAATGTTTTTCACTTGACTCATTCCAATGCCTAACAGAGCACGAATTTTCTGGCAAGTAAGTTTTTTTCAGTTTCAAAACAAATGACAGTCTCGCAAATTACAAAGTTACATGGTCTCAAAGAGTTACATTTTCAAATTCCATAATTGTTTTTTTTTTTTTATTGTAAGTGGCTAGATCCAGAAACTTTCAGTATGCCCCTCGTATTACTCCTAGGTATTTGACCTCTTTGGTAAGAGCCAGTTACGTTTGAAATAGTTTAGGAAGTTAGAGATTTTTCTAGACTACGTTTGTTTGTGAACATGATCATCTCTGTTTTCGATGGGTTTACTGCCAAGTTATGTGTCACACCACTGATCAACGATCTTCAGTGCGAGTTTCATTCGAATCGCATATAACGCTCGCAAAGGGACTACTTATGAGGATAGTCAGATCGTCTGCATAGCCTATTGTGAGGAATCTACGGTCGTTAAATTGTGTGATTAGTTCATCCACAACAATGTTCCACAGAAGAAAGGAGAGTACACCGCCTTGCGGGCACCCTCTAGCCACCACCTCTCTAATCACTTCCCTCAGAGTAAATTGAATAGCTCTATATCGTAGCATGCTGTCGATCCCCCCTGAGATTGTGTAATGAACACCACGTCTAGACAGAGCTTGGCTAATGTTGGTGAAATTTGTTTTGGTAAAGGCACCTTCGATATCGATAAAGGTGTAAGTGTTGATCATTTGTGTTTTAGATTGCCTTCTATATGTGATACTACTCGATGTAAAGCTGATTCCGTAGATTTTCCCATCGAGTATGCGTGTTGGTTGTGGGGTAAGGGTGACTGACTAGCGCTGTTCTCCTAATTTCCCATTTACTAATAGACTAATTACAGGTATTCATTACATTACATATAAAGGTTCATAATTCTGCAACTCATAGTATATGTCGGCGCTAATACAGAATTACCACTTTCGGAGGCTATATCAATAAAACACGCACTTAAACGTACTTGTTTATTCTTGTACAATTATTTATTATTGCTTTTTTCTTTCTCTTCTCATTTTGTTAAAAAATTGCGACGATAACCTTTAAACATTTGTTGAAGTTAATTGTCTAAAAAAGATAAAAGACAAACCGGTATCGTAGGTACATCACTACAAGAGCGTATCATTATTTTTAAATTGTGTCAATTTGGTAGCTGAGATAAAAAGAACAGGCTATAGATATAATTGTGTTTTCATCATTACGTTCACAGAGTAAAATACCCTATTATACCCCTCCTTAAAAATCACTAAAGCATAATGTAATCTATGTAGCTCTATGAAATAGAGAAAGAAAATGATTAAATGATCACAATTAAAAAAAAAGACATCTGACACACAATGCCATCTAGTTTCAAACTAAGCAGAGCTTGTATTATGATAGCTAGATTTACTGATAGAATAATATTTTTTTGTAAATACGAGTTTTTATATATTTTACTTAGAAAACGCCTAAACTCCGAACATTATTTGCAGATCATATAAACATGTGGTCCAACCCGGGAATCGAACCAATATAGCTATTTTCCGTAAAGTCCGTATTGTGGTCTAATTTAATTTAATTTATTTGAGGGCCTGAAACATTTAAGTGCCACTGTGTCCTAACGTTATCAGGCTTTTTATATCTTTTAACGAGCTATAAACACAAAGCGGAGGTAACCTTTCCCGAAAGTTTTAAATATAATAAATTACACCTTGGTCCCTTGTGCTACAAAGGCTAAAGCCTGAGTCATCGATAAGTGGTTATAGATTACATTTTTAAAGAAAACGAACAGTGCTGCAATATCAAATATAATGTTGATGAACATTTTACTAAGAGCACATAATGGTAAGAGTATATATGGCGTTTCGTAAATAACGTCAAAATTCTAGTGAAGTATAAGAAACGCAACGCACCTTTAAAGAAAAATCATTACTAAAAGATTTTTTCAAGAATTGATTGATGCCATTTTACATAAAATTACGTGTATTGAATGCATGTTTTTTTCACTAAGAGACTCGGAACAAGCAACCGAACGGAACTGGAAAACCTCGGACGGGATTTCTTGTTGACTACGGAACCTTCCATTGCCCGTTGCCCATCACAAACTTGGCCGGTTACTTAAATTTGATGTCATAAAATGAAATAAACTATGTATTCAAAATATTTATACAAAACACAAGTCTTCCCTTCTAAGTCAGCATCAGACCACAAGACTAGAAATAATCATAGAACTTGAAATACTTGACATTCACTCATTCTAAGGCAATCACATAAGTATAAAACAAATCGGTAAAGTCAGGAACACATGCTTCTTTAAGCTGTGACAGAGAATATAATGATGACAAAGAACGGGAATACACGTCACCCTTTTAACTTAGCACACAGACAACTTAACAACGAAGTACTTCCGATACCAATATTGCTTATCCAGCCTACTTGCTAGATGAGGACTAGCTTATTTTATTATTACGGACTATTATCTATTATTACTATTTGGATGTTCTACAGTTGAATTTGAATTACAGACCTGCTTTAAATCATTAACAAAATGAATCCATTAGACCTGTTTTCTTTTCTTTCAGTCCCGTAAAAAGTTTTACCACTTCTATAGGGAGATTTATTGACAGGTACTTACCCTCCATCAGCCACATCCACCCGGTAAGTTAGGAGTTCGTGGTCTTGTGGATCTCCGCGGGTGTCTTCGTAGTATAGTTCTATGAGATTGCCTACCACCAGTTGTAACTGCTCGTCGCCAGCATCGGAGTAAAGAATGAAGAGTGGGTTTTGATCCGTCCCTGTTAGAAAATTTAAGTATTTTATAAGTAGTTCGGTTAACAGTTCTCAATAAAAATGAAGATTACATAATATTTTTGGAAGACATGACACCAACGTTGTAGGCCGTTAAAATACACAAAATAATGTCGTTTTTAAGTTCAAACAAAATGACTAAATTTAGCCACAGGATTGGAATAAAACTGACAAAATAAAATGAATAATTACAAGTTTATATGAAGTTCCAACCAAGTAAAACCTATATTTTATCTCTTGGGGCCTCAAGGTAGATAATTTATAGGTTACAGATTTCAGTTAGGAATAGGTTTCAGGACAGGGCTGGATTAAAGAGGCCTTTCTCAAGTTTATATGTATAGATAGTCATTCGTTTTTTAAACTAGACGAGGATAGTCATTAGGTTCTTGGACTGACATTGATCAGAGAGGTAAGTTTGAACTGTACTGAGGGCCTAGTGTGAATTTAGTTATCATCAACTAGGTCTCGACGGGGAGCGTGTCCGCCACTGTCCGTGTGGTTGTCACCGCGTTTAATTTCCTGCTGTTTTAAACAAAACTAATATTTTTTTAATGTAGTTCTTAAACAAGCTCATAAAACAACCAACCTCTAAAGCTACAAGTTCCATGTACATAGCATGCTACCATTTGCATGTTGCATGTGCTACAAGGAATAACATTACAATTTTAAAATAAAATTACTTTGAAGAGATTCCAATTAGAAATTTACATTATTTCTCCCATTCTTAAGCGGCTTCCGAAGACACTACGGAGAATAACTAAAAATTATCTCTCTTTGGTTTTAATATACAAACTTTTCTGGCCACACAATTCGCGGCTAACTTAGCTGTAGAACTTGCTTCCCGCCCCGCATACTTTCTTCCCCAAGTGATAAACTTAGAATGCCTGTGAAATTATTTTAAAATACAAATACGTCTTTTTGTATACTTTGATGTGGCTATGCAAAGTTAAACTTTGTATGATATGGCATGGTATACTTATAATGGTTAATTGGGTATCTTTAATTTAATTTATTTTCCCACAAAAAACTTCAAAGATTCTTGACCTGGAAGTCGGACTACGGCTAAAATCGAGAAGTCTTCTGGAAAAGTGTTGTAGAACATTCCAGCGGAAAGTTGGTGTAAGGTGGCATTTTCGTTGAGAGTGAAAGCGGTGTAGTCTTCTTCAGGCGATAGTGGTGACTGACAACGCCCAGGAATCCTCGTTACACCTTCAGGGAGGTCAGTGACATCCCGCACCACCGATAGAACATCGAAAATGTCGGTCCCATCTGAAATAAACATTTTTTTGTAGCAATAATGTGTTAATTCATAAATAAAACAATAGTCGGGCATCTCTTAAGCACAGATATTTTAGCTAATGTATTGGAATTTTCAGAAATGAAAGTTTTTATAAATACTAAAAAGAATACAAAGTGGGTAACAGATTACTAGTATTATTGTCAACTTTTCCCGATAAGCTAAGCGCTTAGTGGGAAGTTGGTTTCTGCGGGCAAAGATCGAACTTGCTACTACTTGATCGAAAAACCGACTTGGCTATTTTGGTACCAGCGCATTCAATAGATTAACTCATTTACATTTTATGAATGTCACAACTTTATTACAGATTTCAAATGTCAACATTGCGTTGATTAATGTACGTCTATTCAGAGTTTGACTTTAATTCTAAATCATCAATCGGCAGTTCTGAGTTTTAAGTTTTATTTTGGTAACTGCATTAGTAGAGGCTTAGTTGAGTCAAAATCTACCCTGCAATTTCTTTACAAATTGTGAATACAATACTGATCGTCAAGTATTAAGCAGAAGTATGTTTGATAGTGGACATCCTATATATTACAAAATAACGAACCCATAGGATTTTCTTTTTTGTTAAAGAGTGAGAATTCCTGGCAACAACCATACTGTTTACTTTTTTACATACTTTAATTTAACATTTTTCTAACCTAATAAAGAAAAACGACAAGTAAAATACGTTTCTAACCATTGGCCCCTTTTTAGAATTGATCCAAAATTGTGAGTATCCTCCTTACCTTCACTTTCCTTTACGTTATCTACGACCCTCATGAGATCACACTATCCTCAAGCGATACATGAGATACGATAAGCGGTTAAAGCTTCTGGTAATTTATTACGTTTCTAGTTTCAGTATTAAGAAAATAGCACTACAGTTTTAAGTACTAAAAACTATAACCTAATATTGCACGTTGACTGACGATTCTACTTTAGAATGCTATGGCACGAGATAGCATTGATTCCCTATAAGCGTAGAGGCTATTGAACAATAATTTTGTATTTTCTGGCCATTTCAATGGTACCAATTTCATTATGCCTAGACTAGAACATATTGATGATAATGATCGTCAGTTTAGGTATAGGTATAACAAATACAAATGTATTTAAAAAAAAATAGAAGGTTCTTAATTATCACACTAATAATTTTTTCATTTCCTTCGCCTATAAGAGTTGTATAAACTTATCATCTAATATGAGGTAATTTAAAATATTTACTACTTATAGTACAATTACGAGTATAGTTAATAAAAAATATAATATGCTTCCGTGTGCCATATTTGTTTAAGAAGAGGTGTAAGCAATTTTTTTCCTGTATTGATGTATAAAATGTAATATAAACGTGAACGTGAAAGGTGGTTTTTGGCGTACTGTATACATTATATTACATAGGTACTATAATATAATGTATACAGTACGCCAAAAACCACCTTTCTAAGGAGAGGCTTATGTCCAGCAATGGACTATTAAATGCTGTTGATGAGATGATGTGATGAATGTATAGACATCCTATAATGAGTGTTCGCAAAAGCTCTCCATGTATAAATTAATAGCTTGTAAACTTACCAAACATATTTTTGTGCATATTTCTAAAACTAAAATGATTTGACAAAATCAATCTGATGAAGCTGATCTTATGTAGGTAGGTAGGAAAAATTGTTTTTTTTTTATATAGTAGTTATTTAGTAAAAGATGAAAACTCAACATTTTCAATAGAAGTATGTAACTATGTGTGTAAATATTATTTTCTGTTTTTATAGAATATTTTCAACTCTTGTTTCCAAACCAAGTGTCTGTAAATATGCTGTTTAATCCTGAAATTGAATATTGTGATGTTTAAAAAACAGATTAACGCATTTGCTTTTGGATAATGTTCTTATTCTTGCAGTTTTATTGATTCCCACGAGTATTATAACACCTCCATTCCTTAATTCACGTTAAAATATGCGTAAACATGCATCTACAGGCAAACATTGTCAGAAATAAAAGCATTCAATCTAAACAGATAATATTTACTCACCGTCCCCATTGCCGCCGCTGAGTGCGCAAAACAATAAAAGGAGAAATAGACCTTTTGTCTGTGGAGCCATTGCGGCCCGAATAAATGTGTTAGGTGGTTTTTATTTACTATCGGTCCCATCCCGGTGGGCGCGTTAAGGGAATGTTAGCGGCTGGTGGGCAGCCTCTGGCCGTCCTCGTGGGACAGGCATGACAAGCCGGCGTGCCAGCGGAGGCAGTCAAGATACTGCCAGTTTGAATCGCTGAACTATATTACATCGGTTGCTATCTTCATTGAATTGGTGTCAAAATAATGAACATCAATGAAGAATCAGAGATCGTAAACTTTCTTCGTTAGAAATGATTTTGATCATGTATACGAGATACGAGCCGAGTAAAGTAAAAAATAATGACAAGATATTAATAAAAAGGGTTTTTTACACAAGGGTTTATATAGGGTTTGTCTTACATATTTCATATTTTCCACACCAATTAAAATGATTTCTTATTAAGCATGTATGAGGTAACAAATATGTATTTATTTAATAAAAATATGAATACCTACATGTTTATGCATCGATACTCTATAGAGTATCGATGCATAAACATGTAGGTATTCATATTTTATGAGGGTATACCCTCTACTATTGATTAATTATAAGCAAACTAACAAGAAACTTGAATAATATTCTGTACGAGCTACTGGGTAATAATTGGCTGCAATCATTAGAAGTTTCATTAACCCAAAATGTTGTCAAACTCTGACTTTATCGATTAAATACAATTCGTTGTTTCGTTGTAGGCCAACAACTATTTAATAGAGATTCATTCCTATTGTCACTAGAAAAACATTTCATAGGTTGTTCAACTTTTAGATCATTATATATTTTTATAACATTTAAAAACCTATTTGTTAATTCTCGTTGAGTGAGCTTAAAAATATTTTTTGCGAGGTTAATGACCCTGTAGATTTGAGAAAATATATTTTTTATTGATTTGATCTTTTAAGTTCTATTTCGGGCTCTGCCTTCTAAGAATTTAATCAGTGGACCCTGTTAAATCTCTCAAATTATATATAACAAAATTGATTTTTAGCAAACAGTCTACAACAGAGAAATCTCGACGTAAATAAACGATTAGAACGAGAAACTGATACAATTATAGATTTTAAATAATTATGGCAAATTATTTGTACATAATGAACAATAAAAAACCGTTAAGGATATAAACTTAAGAGTGTGTTGTAGGTGTATGTAGGCGTTATAATATAATTATACATATCAGAAAAGTTATAAAGAACTTGATTCTCCTATAAAAACTTTTCTCGTGCGGTTATGTTATTCTTTTATCATTCTTATTGATTGAGTACTTAACGAGGCATTGTATTACAATATTATGAACGGAAAAAAGGTAAACTACTTAATAAAATAAAAGAATTGTTATGTTTAATTTTTTGCATTATGTACTTAAATATTTATTTTTTGTCCTGTCAAAACCCCCGCGGGTATTTACCTTACCAAGCCAATAATAAGGTGGTATGTCGGCCTCGGACTGTGGAATACAACGCGATGTTCCGTCATGGTGTTTTGTAGACTGGAACGTAGGAAAACCATACTTCGGCACACATGGGCCAGGCTCGACCGGAGTGATACCACGACCTCAAGAAAACCGAGCGGTTACCGGAGAATGGTTCACAGGGAAATCTTTTATAGTTTTGTAGCATAGGAGCAAACGATTACGAGTCACACGATGGAAAGTGACTACCGTCGCTCATAGGCACCTGCACCTATATATATAATCACAAGAGAATATATTTTTTACTATTTGATAATTAGGATATAATGAATATTATAATCATAAATAATACAAAGAATAAATAGGGCAGTTCCAGCAGTATTTTTTTATTCATTCTGGTTGATTAGTGAACTACACAAGCTCTTAGGGTGTGCCTGAGTGTTAGCTAAACTCTTTATTCTTGAAATATTCAGTCCGTATTGAGCAACGATACAGCACAACGGCTTATTCTTTTGGTTTCAAACTTTATATTATACCATTTTTATTACGCTAACGCATTCAAGACAAATTCATTCAAAATATGAACGACATTCATGAATATAAATTTAGGCTTCAAAACGTTTTTGATCCTTTTGAAAACTAAGTACGTGGATGAATTTGTGTTAAGGTGTTTTTGTAATTATTTTCTTTCTAATTGGCACTTTAAGTAGTACATTATATTGTTGGTGTACAATCAAGATAATTCTATTCTATTCTATTTTATTCGGTATTGCAAAAAAATTTGCATCTATTAACACTACATATATATATTTTTTTATTTTTCGTTATAAGATAGGTATATTAAGTATTTAGAAACTTCAATAAATAAATAAATGTGTGCATAGAGAAGCGAAGAAGCCAAAACACACTACTCTCAAACTCAAGTAAAAGCTTACCATTATACGGGTGATGGTTGAATTGTTTGCTACACCAGTTTAAGGGCTATTTGCTCTGTTTGCTACAGCGGTTTAGTGTTAGTATTTTATTAAGTGAATTTCCTTTTAGCTTAAAGTAGTTTAGTGAATGTTATTGCTAGAATATCGCGTTTTAACTCTGTGTTTACATTAGAGGTTGACAATGATGTGACGACACCAACTTTAGTATGTAAATTCTATTTATGAGCTGATGGTCATAAATATGTTTTACATTTAAATTAAAATGAAATGAAAACGTAAGTGACTTGGCATTAAACTACCATATTATGTAATTCCTTGAGCTACAAAATTATTAATGAGTTAAGTATATTATCGGGTCAGTTTGCGTCATATTACTTGTTCCAGGTGTATATATTCCAGTACAGCACTATTAATATAGTATAATATAGTCTCGTTATGTGAGCTTACGTGTTTATCGTTGATAGCGGACCTTGCAGCGCTTCATCTGCATCGCAAACATCTGCTTCTGCTTTTTTTTTTGTTCTGGAAAGGTATATCAAAGTTGGTTCTAGGTATTTGACAGTTCTTCGATTCTTGACAAGGATTTGCTGCCACTCCTACCATTAGCATGTCGTTGTTCAATGTTACTGATCTTCCTACTGGATTCCGAGCTAGACCGATCAACACTACTAGTTCTGAAAACTTGGTTAACAATCTTTGGCATCAAGGGAAGTCTAATGCAGTTGGTTAAACATCGAAAATCCCCCTTTTCGTTTACCTTACCCCAATTTAGCCTTTTCTTTTTCCTTTTCTCATCTGAATACGATTACATTCTCTAGAAGGGTTGGCGTCAGGTCGAGGGTCAGCCATACAAGAAATCAGTTAAAATCTTTTGCAATTTTACACATTGCGCATAACATTGCAAGACATTTCAATAGTATTCTACTATAATCCTACTAAAGGTCGTAAGATCACTGGAGCAGGCTTTTTGCAGATTGATTGTACAGCGTGCGTGACCACTCAGAAGGTACATCGTATGTACTCATTTCAGGAGATTGATTTTAGAGCACGAATTGAATTTTAATGTTGATGTTACTGCTGAACTGAAGTGGGATAGAGAGGTTAGACAACAAACTATTTTTTTACAATAAAGTTTTCTACTCTAGAGAATCAAATCTGTGTCGCGAAGAGCAATAAACATTTAAACAACCGACCAAAATAACACCTTTATTCAGGACACTTAATATTGGATACCAATTTTTGTTTTATAATAAAAGAGACAAACACATAAATTCATTACTATTGGTGTGTAGACCTATACATATTATACGTTATTTATTTTTCGGT